CTAATTCCAGACGTTACGGGCCCTACATATTTACGTGATCTGATTATACCTTTGCACATGTCTCTTACGTTATTTTCGATTCTATTAGTTTCTATTTCAATTATTTTATTTTTAAGATACTCCCTTTTTTTATTTTTGAGCAATTTTGTCGTTTCGTTCTTTGAGATTCGGAAGTATTCCAGATTGTCTTCGCTAGTATTATTTAGAGCTTTTAATTTAGCGGCTTTTCTTTTTTCACACATGTTTAAGCAATCTTCATCAAACCACGGTTTGTTATTCTTATTTTCCTTTTTTCCTAGACACGAGTTACCGACCGCTTTAATATTATCTCTGATCTCTATCCATAACTTGTCAATATCCTCGTGGTCCTCGTCAGGAAGCTCTAAAGCTTCAAACCTATTCTTAACATCGAGCTCGAATTGGTTTCTAATTGTTGGATTTTTTAATTTTTCCAAATTAAAATTCTCAAAATCGAAACGGTTTTCTTTTCTCTTTTTTATATTAAGTTTTTGTCGAAGTTTCGCGATTACTAATTCATGATCCGATCCACATTCTGCTCCGCGATAAGACCGTACATTAATTATACTGCTTTGCCAGCTGTGTTGTATCAAGACATGATCGATTTGATTTCGTGTTTGCGAATCCGCTGATGTCCAAGTATATTTATGAATATCCTTATGTTTAAACGTCGTACTTTTAATTATCAGGTTTTTCGAGATGGCAAAGTTTATCAGACGGATCCCATTATCATTACTATATTCGTGCAAACTTTCTTTACCAATCGTCGGAATATAAACTTCTTCCCTTCCTACCTTTGCGTTCGCGTCACCTACAATTATTTTCATGTAGTTTCGCGGTAGTTTATCATAAACCCATTCGAGTTTATCGTAAAATTCACTTTTGACATCATCGTCACTATCTTCGGTCGGACAATGTATGTTTATTAATGCGATTTTAAACCAACGTCCCTGAAATGTAGCTACCGAAATTCTATCACTAAAGAATTGTACGTCCCTCAAAGCGGATAGTAATCTACTCCTAATTAGAAACCCGGTACCTAAACAATGGATTCCCGCTTCCTCCGTACCAAATAGTGTACTTTCCTTCCCTCATCGAGCCCTCCCCTGGCCAGCGAACCTCTTGCAGAGCCACGACATCCAAATTGTACCCATTCACCTCATTCGCGACCGATTTTAGACCCCCTGCTGTGTTTAAACTCCTTACGTTCCACTTTCCAATATTTAAATCCCTATATTTCAACTTGCGCCATGAATCCCCTAAAGCAGTCCCCACCCGGAGACCCGAACGGGGGACTAGTTTACCTCCGGATAATGAGCGTTTTACCTTAGGGAGATCCATGACTTTTTGTGGTGTTTGGTGAACTAAAGATATGTGAGAGTAGGGCGTTCAATCCTACGTCACACCCTCCAGCAAGTCTGGTGGGCCCCTACCTCCAGCAAGTCTGGAGGTCCCCTCCCTCCAGCAAGTCTGGAGGTCCCCTCCCTCCAGCAAGTCTGGAGGGCCCCTCTCATTGTTGGTCAGCGAGTCCATCGGACTTAGCCGGGAGGAACTTCCAAGGAATTTCCACCGACCATCCCCACATCCGCCACCCGTGGGACGCTCCCCATACGCGGTAATGAGCCCGCGCGAGGAAATTAGTGAATAATTTGATAAATTTTCTTTTTGTGATATTCCAACAGAATCCACTTACAATTAGTGTGACAACTTTTGACCTGTCTATGACAGACAATGCAAATCTCTTAATTCCGTTTTAATAAACTTTGCAATGGAAAATAACAGTTTAATAACTAATAGTCGTATCAATGGATCGAACAATCCATAATCAATGAATCGTACAATCCATAATCAACCGGTGATATAATAAATAGAACTTTTGTTATTTTAATAGCGTTTATGATTTGTTAGCTGCAATCTTTTAGCTTTAGCTCAGTTTAAAATGCAATTTAAAACATTTTATAATAGCCCAACATGGTCAGAAAATAATTTCTATTCAAAGTTGAGCAAAGTTCAAAGAGTAAGTTAAAGTTGTATGTTGCGCGCACTAGATTTTTTTTTCATAGATTGTGGCACAAAAACTGCATTAATAGTTTTGAAGAAACTTGCCTATAGTCTTCTACTTAAAACCTTTTTAATTTTTATATGTAGTAAATTTAATACAATATTTTTTGGTCATAACTCAATTACTATTCTCTGCGTATGTGTAATGAAAATATCAATTTTTTACTCTTAGTAGGATGGTAAGTGAAAGTTGTTTGATATGAGCACTGTGGCAGATTGTTTGATTTTACTCCACTAAAATCCGATTTTTATTATTAACTACAAAGGAAAATATTTATTCTGTATCCATGGGATTTATTAGAAATGGAATTAAGGTAATTTTGGTATGCTGAATACAAAAATAATATTTCTGTTTAAATAGCTATACTTTTGGAGAAAAAGGCAATCCATTTTTACTGGTAATTAAATTTTTATAAATGGATTAATATATATTAATATTAATATTAAAGCAGCCGTTAACTCCTGTCAAGGGAAAAAGTTTGATGAAGATTGCTTAAACATGTGTGAAAAAATAAAAGCCTCTAAATTAAAAGCTCTAAATAATCCCCGTGAACACAATTTGAAGTACTTTCGAATCTCAAAGAACGAAACGACAATTTTTTTCAAAAATAAAGAAATGGATTATCTTAAAAATAAAATAATAGAAATAGAAACTATTAGAATCGAAAACAACGCAATAGACATGTACAAAGGTATAAACAGATCACGCAAATGTTTGGGACCCATCACGTCTGGAATTAGAGATGAAAGTAACAATATTAAAAGCCAGTTGCAAATGTGGTTGTTGTATTGGATTCCCTAAGTACTCTGAAAGCTATGAATAACATGTATCCAGACCATCCAGGGATACACTGCATTCTAAGTCTTATAAAAATGCTTCATGGAGTTGGAACAACGGCACATTTTATCTGGTCGCCTGGCCATATAGGAATTAAAGGAAATGAAATGGCTGATAGAGCAGCAAAGGACTCTTAGGACTTTACTCTTCCAGGCCACGGTAAAGTCTTTTTGACATCATCTGAACTTGCACGACCTCTGAGAGAAACCATATTCCAAGAATGGCAAAGACGGTGGGACAACAGCGCACCTAGCAAATTAAAAACAATAAAGAAAGAGGTGCAACCGTGGACCAGCTCCAGACGCAGCAGTCGTAGAGAAGAGGTCGTCCTCACGCGGCTGAGGATCGGACATACTAGACTGACTCACCTCCACCTCATAACAAAAGATTCTATCCCCCGATGTCATAAGTGTAACCAATCACTAACTATAAAACATATTTTGGAAGAATGCCCTTTTTACACCGCAAGATTAAAAGATTTTGGAATACCCCAGAATATATCAGCATCCCTGAGAAATCAAGAAGAAATCGTTACCAAAGTCATCAAGTTCCTGGATAGTGAAAGACTTAAAAAACACATTTGACAGGCTTTTTTTTATTTATTAATTTTTTTTATCTATTTATTTTTATTATATTTTCTCTTATTATTATTTATTTATTTTTTCACTTGATTTCATTTCATTTTAAATTCATTTGTTAATTAATCTCAATTCATTTATTGATTCTACTGCTATTTTCTAAAGTTTATTTATTTACATTTTTTATACATCTTATTACCTATAAATGTCTATTATTATCCTTATTTATTTATTTTATTCTATCAATCCATTTATCCAAATCATTTACAATTACACTTTAGGAAGTTTGTTCCATGTATGCCTTTAGTCTTCTTGTTTGAAATTTTTCAATCTGAAAATGCAAAATGTGCCCCCTTAACAATGATGATGGCGCAACTTGTGCCATGAAACTCCCTTTTGGGCACCCCTGCTTGATGGAAACACTCGATAAAGTTAGAATCAGTAATAACTTGCAAAAATGGCGTTATTGGTGGTTATATGGATATAGAAGGTAATAAGTTTGAACAAATAGAGAAGGTTAGGTATCTAGTATCTAAGATAACTAGAAAAAACGAAATTGAAGAGGAACTTAAAAACTAGAATTCATAAAACCATTATCTTATGTACAGTCTTGATGGATGCGAAACGTGGACGCTTACATTAAGGGATGAGCAAGATCTCAAAGTTTTTGAAAATAAAGTATTACTTAAAATATTCGGACCAGAGAAGGATGAGTTAACCAGAGAGTTCAGAGTTACAAAAGCTGATATGGCGTGAACTGTACCCGGTTAATATAATTGAGGTGATTATATTGCGGTGAATCAAATGGGCTTGGTAACAAAAGAATTCCTAAAAGATTAATATTTACTGTACCGAATGGCGAATGTCTGAGGGGTAGACCAAAGCGAAGGTGGGAAGATTGCGTTAAAGCCGATCTGAAGGGACTGGGTTTGGAAGGCGAACGGTGAAGGGAGGTGTGTGATAAGCAATTGGTGGTGTCGGCATCGAACCTTTGGGTTCGCTAAGCCTTTTATTATTATTATTAATATTTGAGCTAGAATTTATGTAAACCGCACATATGATACTATTCACAGGTTCCTCAGATGTCCCACTTTTAGACAGTGTCCAGGCATCCCCAGGATTTTTTGTGGGACAAGTAGATGTACTGCTTTCGATGGTACCCTGGAACCTGGATTATCTATCACTCCATTGACAATCTTTTCTCAAATGCTGAGATTCAAATCAATACAAAATACTTTATTTCCTAACAATTATATTTAACAAGACCAGATGTCCTGTTACCTACTTTTAAACAATGTGTCTGATGCCCAAAGCATTTGCTGTGGGATTCCTAAATATCCTGCTTTGGATTATATACAGAGATCTCAATCATTAATCATTATGGTGTTGGAAATAGACGATTGGCAAAATTTATATACTTGGAATTTTATTAACAGTTATTCGATAGGTGTTCTGAGATCAATATAATTAAAAAGGATATGAAAGATTTTAAACACATACATATAAATTAAATTTTATTTTTACAATAATTACAAAATAAGTTTGAATGATACAAACTATTAAACTATTTATCAATGAGAGTTCCCCTTACTCTGTTGCGTTTTGAATCAATTTCAGCTTGTGTTTGTTGTAAAACAAGTTTTCTTTTATTCATACCTTTCCTTTCAAGTTGCTTTTCGATTATCCTAGCATTATTTGCATAAGAATCAGCAACTTCTCTCTGTAAAATATTAGATATTATTAAAAAACATAAAATCAATGCATGAAATAACTAATAGATAATAATATATTAATTTCTTATATAATAATAATAATTATAGAGATAAATCATAAATAATTTTATACCGCTTCTATTTCATCTTCCTCTTCATCAATTGTAGACACTGTCACAGAACTGAATTTTCCCATGTTTTTGGTATGTTTAGTGACCATAATTTTTTTGGGTTGTTCTGCTGCTACTTGATTATAAATATCCATTTTTGGTTTTTCACCTGAGTTCCTTACAACAGCACCTTTTAATACAAAGTTAACATTACTGTTTTGATCATGCTTGTAGTAAATCGTTAATTTACATCTGCAAAAAAATAAAATAAAAAAAATAAAATAAATGTAAAGTTGAACACGTTTCCAAGAAATCAAGCACAAAAATTTATTAATCATAAAAAATCATCAGATCTGGCTCCTCCCTCCCCCTACCTACTTGTTACACCACTTTTTTTTAAACTGAAAACAGAGAGGAGGGATTCTCAAATCATTTCGTATCTCATAAGTCCAACCTACAATTCAACAGCTCTTATATCAAAGTTTTTAGTTTCAATACCACATCAACTAAATTAAATTACAAAAAAAAAAAAATTATGTAAAAATAATGATAATGATCATGTTGAACCAAGCAAACAAAATAAGGCAAGTTGCTATAAAGTGAATCACCTCTGAATTGAAATTTAAGTATTTCAATTTCAACGAGAATTTTTATTATTATTTTTTTTAAAATAATTTTCTCAATATAAATAGAAACATTAAAAAAAAAAAAAGAAAAGATTAATTCGTTCGAAAAATGAAAGTACAAAATAAAGTAAATCACTTTTCTAAATAGTAAATCATTACTTAATACCAGGGCTTGAAACGGAACATTAATTAAGACCATTCAATGCCCAGTAAGTTACATACTCAGGGTCGTACAACAATAGGTAAATTAAAATAAATTGTGGGATGAAAGATCAAAGATTTTGTCTATTATTAATACTTCAAAGAGCCCCAACCAATCTACATATAAAAAAATTAAGGCACTCCTTAAATAACAGGTCAGGTCGAAACCTCCCTTGTTATCTAATCTTATATCACATAACCTCCTTTCTCATCTCCTCTAACCTAAGTTATTCCATTGTTTATTTTTTGTTCCTCGTGTAAGCTGTGAGTTATTCCATCATTTATTTTTGTTCCATTAGTGTTATTTTTGTAAAATCATGGATGTTGTTACATTGTTCGAATTGCCGTCTTCAGAAGAAGAGGCTATCAAATATTTTCAAAACGATTGCAATATCAGTCGGGATGATTGCAAAGATGAAATATTGTGATAAAGGTCATGAAATGAAGTTCGACGGGAAGAAAAAATGGAGATGCTTTCGTATTTGTAAAAAAACGTTTCTAGAAGGAAAGGAAGGTGGTTAGAGCGGTTGAGGATTTCTTTTTTGTTTCTCGAGGATTTTTTATATTGTTTCTTTTATGTGTACATATGTTCTTTATAGTCTTCATAGTGTTTCTTTTATATGTAAATATGTTCTTTAAGTATTTTATTATTATTTCATTTATTTTTGTCTATTTTTATATATGTTGTAATGTTTTACATTATATATGTATAATGTTTTGGTCTATTTAATATATATGTTGTAAAATAAAAGTATTTTTTTATTATTACATTTGTTTTTGTTTCCAATTTCAATAATATGAATATAATAGAATAAATATGAACATAATACAATAAATATGAATAGAAAGATAGGAATTATGAGTGCGTTATCAGAATTATTAGTGTTAAGGTTATAAACATTGGCAGATAGCAGTCGGATCCGACCAGCTATTTAAGGAGTACCAAAATTAAAATCAGAAAATTTAGCCATTTATTTTCTTATTTGATTTTCACAGCTAAGGTGATGTTTTCTGACGTATATTCATGTTGATTTGTAATATGTCATTCATACCAGTTCATAGTCCTTTGTTAAAAAAGGTGATGAATAAAAGTAACAAAACTAAATTTGTAAAAGACGAAACAATCTAAATAATATAGTGTAGAGAAATAATAGTAACATAAAGAAGAAGAATAAATAAAGGTAGACCATAGATGTTGATGACCTAAGGGTTTTGCACATTTAAAAAAAACATAAGGACATATACACAAAACTTTAATTTAGAAAAGTGATTTATCTTAAATCAATTCATTTATATATTTTTTTAAAAATACATAAATATTTTAAAAATGCATGTACTATTTTCATTTAGTAAGGTTGTTAAATGGCGTAGGACATTACTACTATATTATCTAAATTATTATTATACTATTAAATTACCAATATGTTATATGATACATCAATAAAATTTAGTTAATAGTAAATAATGAACGGTAAATTTCAGATGTCAATCAAAATAATTGACCTTTATATAATTGTATTTCACAAATGGTTTTTAGATGATGAATAATTTGACTAATTACATATTTATCACATAATACTACCAAATAATATTTTAATAAAAAGTTACTTTTTGCACTTCATTCGAAACTGCCTCTCTATTCCTTCTGGTCTTCTAATATGGACAGTTTCATCAGGATCACATATAATTTTGTTAGCATGCTTGCATCCATCAAGAACCCTGGCACCATCTCTTTTTCTTAATGGGAGTTTCTCAATAGGACAATCTGTATAAATAATTTAATTTGTTAGTTAGAAAAGTATCAATTCCCAATTTCTTAACATAAAAAAATATAAATATTTTGTTTACTTATGTTGTTTTATTTTCCCATGTTTGTATTATATTTATATCTGTATGTATTTAATGTTTTTGTTTTATTTTAGTTCCAATATTTTGTAATTGTGTAATTTTTTTCCAATTGTGACGTAGGATTAAACGTCCTACTCACATATCTTTAGTTCACTATAAACCACAAATTGTCATGGATCTCCCTAAGGTAAAACGCTCATTATCCGGAGGTAAACTAGTCCCCCGTTCGGGTCTCCGGGTGGGGACTGCTTTAGGGATTCATGGCGAAAGTTGAAAAATAGAGATTTAAATATTGGTACCTGGAAGGTAAGGAGTTTAAACACAGCAGGGGGGTTAAAATCGGTCGCAAATGAAGTTAATGGGTACAATTTGGATGTCGTGGTTCTGCAAGAGGTTCGCTGGCCAGGGGAGGGCTCGATGAAGGAGTACACAATTTGGTACGAAGAAAGCGGGGATCATCGTTTAGGTACCGGGTTCCTAATTAGGAATAGATTGCTCTCCGCTTTGAGGGACGTACAATTCTTTAGTGATAGAATTTCGGTAGCTATATTTCAGGGACGTTGGTTTAAAATCGAATTAATAAACACGCATTGTCCGACTGAAGACAGTGACGATGAAGTCAAATGTGAATTTTACCATAAACTCGAATGGGTTTGTGATAAACTACTGCGAAACTCCATAAAAATAATTGTAGATGACACGAACGCAAAGGAGAGAAGGGAAGAAGTTTATGTTCCGACGATTGGTAAAGAAAGTTTGCACAAATATAGTAATGATAATGGGACCCGTCTGATAAACTTTGCCATCTCGAAAAACCTGATAATTAAAAGTACTATGTTTAAACATAAAGATATTCATAAATATACCTGGACATCACCAGATTCGCAAACCCAAAATCAAATCGATCATCTCTTGATACAACGTAGCTGGCAAAGCAGTATAATTAATGTACGGTCTTATCGTGGAGCAGAATGTGGATCATGAATTAATAATCGTGAACCTTCGACAAAAACTTAATACAGAAAAGAGAAAAGAAAACCGTTTCGATTTTGAGAATTTTAATTTGGAAAAATTAAAAACCCATCAATTAGAACCCAATTTGAGCTAGATGTTACGAATAGGTTTGAAGCTTTAGAGCTTTCTAATGTGGACCACGAGGATGTTGACAAGTTATGGATAGAGATCAGGGACAATATTAAAGCGCTCGGTAACTCGTGTCTAGGAAAAAAGGAAAATAAGAATAACAAACCGTAGTTTGATGAACATGTGCGAAAAAAGAAAAGCCACTAAATTAAAAGCTCTAAATAATCCTAGTGAAGACAATCTGGAATACTTCCGAACCGCAAAGAATGAAACGACAAAATTGTTAAAAAATAGAAAACGGGAGTATCTTAAAAATAAAATAATTGAAAGAGAAACTAATAGAATTAAAAATAAGGTAAGAGGAATGTACAAAGGTATAAAAAGATCACGTAAATTTTTAGGGCCCATAACGTCTGGAATTAGGGATGAAAATAACAATATTCTGACCGATCCGGTAGACATATTAAATAAGTTTAAGAACCACTTTGACAATATTTTAAATACGGAAAATTATGATCTGTGTCCTCCTTCTGAGTACCAGAGTGCGAAACCGTTAATAGAAGAACTGAGTAAAGAGGAAGTTGAAGTAGCTATCGGAAAATTAAAATCTTATAAAGCAGTGGGAACGGATAATATTCCTACCGAACTAATTAAGGCATGCGGGGAAGTTGGAGTTTCCAAAATACATTTGTTCATTAAAAAGATCTAGGAGAATGAGAAATTACCTGAAGAATAGAAAGAATCTATTCTTATTCCGATTCACAAAAAGGGCCCGAGGATGGATTGTAATAGCTATCGAGGAAGTTCACTCCTTCCGGTATGTTATAAAATATTCACTTTAATCTTAACTAGTAGAATCACGGAATACGACGAGGAAATTATCGGAGACTACCAATGCGGATTTAGACGGAATCGTGCGACTATTGATCAAATATTTTCTTTACGGCAAATATTAGAGAAAAATTAGATTACAGCGGTATTGTTCACCAGCTGTATATCGATTTCAAAAAGGTTTACGATTCTATTGACCGCCAGAAACTGTATAACATTTTAATCGAGCAGGTGATTCCAAAAAAACTAGTAAATCTAGTCAGGATATGCTTGACCGAAACACTCAACAAAGTTAGAATCAGTAATAATCTGTCTGAAAAGTTTGAGGTTCGTTTGGGTTTAAAACAGGGGGATTCCCAGTCCTTTCATTTTGGCATTGGAACATGCCATTAGGGAGGTGATGCGTACCGAAAAAGAGTTGGATCTGGATGAGACAATACTCCTGCTGGGCTATGCAGATGATGTGGTACTGTTAAGCAAAGACGTGGAAACTACAAAACTAAATACGACAACGTTAACGAATGCCAGTAAAGAACTAGGACTCGAAATAAAGACGGATTAGACAAAATATATGGTTAGCTGCAAAAATGGCGATATTCCTGGTGATATCGATATAGATAGTAATATGTTTGAACAGGTAGAGAAGTTTAGGTTTCTATGGTCTATGATAACAAGAAAAAACGAAATTGAAGAAGAGATTAAGGTTAGACTGAAGGCGGGAAATGCTTGTTATTTTTCTGTGAAAAAACTACTTAGCTTGTCCCGGAACTTAAAAATTAGAGTCTATAAAACCATTGTCTTACCTACAGTTCTTTATGGTTGCGAAACGTGGCCGATTACATTAAGGGATGAGTAACGTCTTAAGGTTTTTGAAAATAAAGTATTGTGTAGAATATTCGGACCAAAGAAGGATCAATTAACCGGAGAGTTCAGACGGTTACACAATGCCAAATTGCGTGAACTATATCCGGGTAATATAATTGAGTTGATTTCATCCCGGCGAATCAAATGGGCCTGTAAAATCGTTGGGCTTAGTAACGAGAGAATTCCTAAAAGGTTAATATTTGCTGTACCGAATGGTAAATGTCCGAGGGGTAGACCAAAGCGTAGGTGGGAAGATTGCATTAAGGCCGATCTGAAGGGACTGGGTTTGGATGGCGAACGGTGGAGGGAGGTTTGTAATAAGAGATTTGGTGGTGTCAGCATCGAATCTTCGGGTTCGCTAAGCCTTTTATTATTATTAAGTTAGTGTTAAATAAAAATATGTTTGAAGTCATTCAAGAAAACTAAGAAATCATTCAGCTGCAGTGATGCCCTTCATGAACATGGTGTAGGATTTGTAGTTCGAGGCCAATTTAGGCAACTGGCCAATTTATAGGCTTTAAGCCTATAAATCCATGTTTCTGTGTGCTAAGGATTCGTATGAAAGTTCTATAACTATGGCGTTATTAGTGTGCATGTTCCGAATGAAGCTTTGAGTCAGGAAGTTAATGATCCTTTTTATGAACAGCTCATACGAACACTTGATCAGTGTCTAAAGTATGATAAGAAAATAATTGCTGGAGATTGTAATGAAAAAATAGGAAAAGAAAAGGGAGAGGAATAGGAACAAAGCTTATTAATTTTGCTGCCTCAAGAGACATGATCATTGGAAGTACCTTTTTATCACATGAGAATATTCATAAAGGCACCTAAACCACACCAGATAGGGAACATGTTAACCAAACAGATCATAACCTTATTGACAAAAAAGGCACAAATCCAGCCTTCAAAATGTGACTGTTTCAAAGTGCCAATGTGGATTTGGACCACTTTTTGTGAATTGCCCACATAACTCCTAAGATCTTCAAAAGGTCTGCAGGTTATAAGACATAAGCATTATAATCTTAGAAAGCTACAGTAGCCAAATATCATACAGTTCTACATTGACCAGCTAAATAAGAACCTCTGAGCTCAGACTGTAAATATGGAAAACATAGAATCTCGCTGGTTCAGCTATGTGACCGCAATGCAGGAAACGGCTCATAATGTACTGGGACCAAGAGAAAAGAGTACGAGGTTCCCATGGTTTGACTGAGAATGTGAGGTAGCCACAAATATAAAGAATACGTATCTTCAAGGCAGCTTGACTGAGAAGAACTGTATAAGACACTTGAAGAGTTCAATATCCCTAGTAAACTAATACGGCTGGTAAAGCTTAGAAGTGAATTATACTGTACATGTTGGTGGGCAAAAGACAGAAGAGTTCTCCCCAGGAAAAGTTCTCCAAGGTAATGTGTTAGCATGCCTCCAGTTTAACTTGGAGCTTAAGGATGCAGTGAGGGATTCAGGTTTGCAAATTGACAAGACAGTTTACAATTGGATGGTCTAGCTGTTAGCCTACGCGGATAACATGGGGCATGTCGGTCAGAGAGGGAATTTTAGCTCTGTTGGAGGTCACCAGAGCACGTGGACTGGAGGAGAATGAAAGAAAAAGTAAGTATTGGACCACATGAGAAGTACCCAAACCTGGCAAGACTATCAATATTGGCCTCTATCATTTTTAGAAAGTGACCCAGTTCACATATTTGGGGTAACATTTGATCTGACAGAGGTAAATGTGCCACTTTCATTAACAAATAACAAGAAAATTGGGTAAGACTTTGATAGTTACGTCAAGATCACATGAACAGAATTTTGAGAACAGCTGAGTGTTGACCTATTCATTATATAACCTCTCTTTATTTAGATATGGCTTTACGACTTATGCACAAATCTAAAACCGAGGCCTTAATTAGCTTTAATTATAAAGCTGCTATGGACTACCCCTCCTTTACAAGAAATAAACAAATCCTCAATGCGCCCTTTTCAGGTTCAGTTGGGATCTCACCAGATGATTTATCATGTGATCATGAGAGATCTTTTGCCACCCATTAAAGTGGAACAACATTTTAGAACAACTAAAGCAGTGCCAAAAGTTGAGTTTTTTCAAAGGATTTTTATTCCATGCATTTTACAGGTGAAAACAATATGAATGTTAGGTATTCACTTACTAACTGAACTTGGAAAATTTTAAGTTCTTAATTTCTTATTTATCTCTAGAGTATAATAAAATTTTATGAATGAAGAATTCTTCAATACTTTAATATTTGCGCATAATCAAAACTGGGGGATGTCAAACTAGTATATGCTCTATATCATTTATGGGCCTCACACTTATTAAACATTACAATATCATAAAATTACAGAAAAATTATGTTATTCTGTGGTTACCTTTTAGAATGAGTTAAGAAAGAATAGACACAATATTCTTAAATTCAAGTTTGAATGAATTACTTAACTATTTTCAGAAATGCGCAAAATATTAACAGAAAAATATCAACATTCAGTAAAAATAAAATTGTTTAAATGCCAATAACCAACCTAAGATAAGCGTCATTTGTCCACAAAGGCAATAATAAGTGTGTAAGGGTTTTTCTTCACTGTATTCTTCCTGGTCTTTTGTATCTGAACATACAATACTTCTAGAAACTACCTTAGGCATACTTGACCACGATAACTTAAAATACGATTAAGAATAAATAATCAACTAAAAGACACCTTTCAAATTTCTGCTCACAATGTAATAATATAAACTTCATGAAGAACTCTTAGTAAAGTAAACAAACTTAGTATTAGTCCAAAGAGGTAGAATTATACAGAACAGCAAGTTGTAAGGTCAGAATTTAGGGGATTTCTTCAAGTTGTTAACACTGAAAAATTGATGTAATAAAAAATGAGGAACTAAGTAGGACAAAAACAATACGCTGCTGAGATTTAATTCTGGATATCATTGATAGGACTGACAACAGGTATTATCGGATCCAGGATTTCATTTTGAGGAGGGATTTTTTTATTAACGGTAATTATTCTGGAAGAAATCAAAGAAAGAAAGCATATAAATTGATGCCTAAATAGTCTTTAAAGGCCCGAAAAAATAACGAAGGTACTTGAAGAATAACGCTATTATTATGATATTATTAAATTCCTATTTTCTTAATAAGTGCTTAGATTTAGTAGCTGGAAATGCGTTATAATTTAAAATGCAGTTATTGTTTAAGGATTAAACTCTGATCACTCACAGAATTCTCTATCCCCCTCCTAGCAACAAGGTAACATAAAGCGGGATATAGATGTGAATCAACCATTAGTTTATATGTTTTCCTCAGCCATTTTTGTACTTACTAGCCCTATAATCAAACAAAAATAACTGGCTTAAAAAAGTTTTTAAAAACAACGATCAGAAAAATAAAAAATAATTGCATTTTAATTTAGCCTATAAATAGAACAACTGTATTAGAGGACTATTGAATGTTATTCCAAAATTACAGTTAATTATATCCGTTAATTCTTTAATTATACCTTGTTTTTTTAAAATTACATTCAATTATATCCGTTTTTCAAGGAATACGCCTTACAAATTGTAAGAGACCATCAATCAGGATTTAGAGAAAACCAATCAACTATTGATCAAATATTTTCTTTAGAGAAGTATTAGAGAAACAATTAGATTACAAGGGTGTTGTACACTCGCTACTTATCGATTTCAAGAAAACTTGTAATTCCATTGAACGCCATAAGCTGCATAATTATGGCCCACTAAAAGATAATGTGTAGTAGTACAAACTATCAGAACTGCCAATGAATGAACCACTAATTTCTACTGAAACTATTAGCTATTAATTTAAATTTATTCATTCCTCTTAACATAGTCATATAAACGGCTAAAATTAGAATTAAATATAAACAGCAAACATTAGTGATAGCTTTTTGGTACACCATTGTTTCGGAAAATTGAAGAAAGGTATTGAAGTTTAGAAATAAAGATGACTAAAAAAATTTACTTTAGATTCAAGAATTTCCGGACAAGTAGTCTGAGTGTAACTGCTTCCTTCCTGTGACATAATACATTTAAACAAACTGTTCAGGCATGCCAGCTTGATATGATAGCATCAAAATGGATTCGAAACTTATTAAATGCCTGACATCTGGAGGTAAAAAACACCATGTCCATTTTTGTATTTGTTCTGGGAAGCCAATTTTCCGTGACTTTGAGCTATTAAAATTTGTTTCTGTTACCAAATCTGTAGCCCAGAAGTGAAGGATATGTCATATTTTTGTATTTGTCAATTTTCCATAAATTTAAGCTATTGAAATTTCTTTTTTATTTACTAAATTATTTAATAAAAAAATGGACATGGTTATTATTGATCATTGACAACTGGAAATAGTAGAGTTCAACCTGTCTATTGCTAATAGGTACTCCATTTTCTTCTTGTTTTTTATCTGTTCAAAATAGTGCAGTAGGTATTTGTCAAAAACTGAATTGATATAATCCCAATGTGATAATAAAATAACTAAATAAATAAAAAGTAGTGCTAGTCAAATACAGGTCAACATTCCTACATGGAAATCTTCAAAACATATTGAAGAGGCAGGTTGAGGAAAGATCTGATATCTGTTTTTTTTTCAAGTTCAAACTATTATGAATAACAGAGCCTACATAGTTTTTTTTAGCGGTTTACTAAATGGAATCAAATTGTTTGGAAACTCATACTAATTCTATATATTTTTAAAAACTTATGTTTCAGCCTTCTTAGGATTCAATAGCAGTGGCTGTATTTAGATTTGTCCAAAAAATATGGGCTTCAGAATTTAATTTTCGAGAGGAGATTGTTTTAATTTTTTTATAATAATAATTTCTCTGGAAGAAAAGAAAGAAACTCTATGAAATGATGTTTAAGTGGTCCTTCAAAGATAGGAAAAACAAAGAAGTTATAATTTAAAAATAAAACATATGATTGTTTAATTGTTGTTTAGATCACTCTTGGAAATAAATGAAAGAAAAATTGTTTCTCTATTTTAAGACTTCAGCTCGAAAGCTCCTTTTTCCTACGTGAGATCTGCCAGTGCTCTGAACTATGTAACAATTTAACTAAAGCCCTAATTCAAAAAGCTTAAGACTTACTATTTCTGCTATAAAATCACTCAAAAACTATCACTACTTCCTAATAATATCCGTCACATGATATCAATATCCATCATCGTTATTTTAGGTAGTGAGGTTCCTTTCAGTAATTTTGTTTATAGTTCATGTATACACTTAAGTTTATTACTTATTTTGAGAAGCCTAACTGAACTGCTCTTTTCCTTGAATGTTTAACTGCGTAGGTCTGCAACTAAAAATCTGTATTTATTTATCTTATAGACTTCATAGAACTAGAGAAAATGCAGTCACTCCAGGAAAGGTTAGTATAAGGGCCCCAGATAGATAAATGCCTGTTGAGTCACGCATATGTTCATTGTCATGGGAAATTCTTATCATCCAAATTTCAGTCCTCTATCTTCAGTCCACATACCTTAAAATGTTGTAATTTGTTCACCTTTTTTATAAGCATGGTATTTCAGAAAAAAAAAAATATCAATGTTACTTTAAGACACAGACCTAATGAACTATCAGTGAGCTGAGCAGGGTAATCCAAAGCACAGCATAATAAGATATGAGGTATAGTAGAGCACTTGAAATGTCAAATGGATGAAAGGAATTTCTAGTGTTTAATTAACAGTAAACAATGATTTTTTAAATTATGGGTATTTGTTATTAAAGTACACTTATTTGTTTAAAATATAATTTATAAATGAAAACAATATAAATGTGATGGGAGGGGTGCAGGTAGAGGGGAGGAATTGGTGGTCATTTTTGGTTTTAGTGCAGTTTAAAACATGAAATTTAGCAAAGATATTCCATATAGCTGAAGCAAAAGTTTTTGCAGGCCTGTTTTACACCAATTGTAAGTCAGAAATGTCTTCTATCTGGAACTTACAGTAATAATATCAACCAAACTGTAAATTGTATTAAGATATAAATGATAAAGATGTTCAACATTAAAGGAGCATTTAAAATCAATACGTTTATAAGTGTTATATATGAGCCTTTCAATTGGCAGAATCACTAACTCCAATTTCAACATTTTTGATTATTAATTTTATTGATATTTCTAATGGGAAATTTTACATTACTTTATTCACAGTTCTATATTTCAACACTGCGATCACCTACTCTGGAATCAACTTACTCACTGTCTGTACAGATATTATAAACTGTCCAACAATAAATATCACTAAAATGACATTACTCAAAAATGTCGAAATTGGAGTTAGTCATTTTGTCAACTAAAAGGCTCATATAATAATAAATGTTACTAACGCTATATGTCCTCATGAGTTGGTATAATTCAAATTAAATGTTGTACTGTCTTATTTTCAAAGCATTAATTGTTAGCTTTAAAATAGCAGTTAACTTATTTCATCTTATAAATTATTTAAGCCTTATTTCTTAATAGGAATTAAGTCCTTAAAAATGATAATTATAAAAAAGACACAAAGCATAATTTTTTCATATGATATAATGTAGCACAACACTTACATGATATACAGAGCTCGAAAAATCATTAAATATAACCTTAATCTTTGTATCAGCAATTAATACTGATGTAATGGTTCAATTTATATAAAATTTATAATTAATTAGAAAAATAAAAGTTAATTAGCAGTAATAAACAATACAATACAAAGTGGTGGGGTAACTTATCAGCCTAATGTTTAATTTCACACTTCATTGGTGGGGAAGGTTTTAAAAATCTTTAGTTTAATGGTATTAAATGTATAAAATTCACAGATATATCAACAAGTCTATACATAATACATATTCAAATATTGCTTGCCCACAAAAAAGAGAGCGAAAATATTTTAATTTACACACACAAATAATAAGCTACTTAACGTGTAAATAATATATATCCCGTTAAAAGGGAATTCAAATAATCTGATATATTACAAAAGTTTTTACAAACATTCTAACAACGCAAGTTAAACGCGATCATTGAAAAATTAGAAGAAACAAGTTATATACAAATAAGCAATAAATAAATAAGTACATAAAAGTAGAAGTGCTAAATGTTTATAATAAACAAGTTATGATACTGAGAAGAAAACAAAAAAGAAAAGTACGAATAATGTAAAAAGTCAAGATACATGTACAGCTATTGGGGGGTTTACAATATAATCAAAATACATTTTTTATTATAATCATAAAGTAATCCGAAATTCATAAAAATAAATATATAATAATCACAGAGAGATCACAAATAATGGATTCATCCACTCCTGGGAATGTGAAAAATGACTAGTGTAGTAGATTATATCTGCACAAATATTATTAGGGTGTATTACACACTCGATCTTTATTGATCTACATATAAATATAACTTAATCATTCGAGGCAGCCATACATAAAATAATAAATAAATATTGAATGCAACATAGTATAGGGGTAAAAAGAGAAAATACGTTTTTTAAAAATTAAATTAACATTCTCTCTTGGCCATGAATTTTGGGTTTAGAAGGTATAAACGGTCATATCTCTAATAATCATATTTTCCTAAAATTCATTTAATATTATAATAACTATTATTAAACTATTTATATTTTGATTGAAATTAAATCTACATGACATGGTTTCAGAATAATAGACTTTTTCAAAATCAACAATTGATTATATTGTGTCACTAGTTTATTTTTACTAAATTACCAACTATTAGAGGCTCTTAAGCTGCACTCGAATAAGTGTTAACACTACTAAGATAAATATGAAGTTCAAATAATAAAATGCTCTAAAAATGTGCAAACTTACAATATATAATTTTAACTCAATAGCATTTAATAAAAACAAAAACAAACATAAAAATATCCTTTTTTTACTTAAGAAAATAATACTAACAAATTCTAATACGCTAACAAATACTAGATGAACTAAACAATAACAAAATTGCACAATTAAGTAATTACAGATAACTAACACCACACAGATTACTAACTAAACATTATAAATGCAAGGGTTGCGTATGAAGCTTCTAATGGCACATTGACTAGTTTTGCAAATGACGTTTAAAAGCAAAATGCATTAAGCAGTAACAGAGAGTTTAATTACTCTGCTGAGCTTTCTTGTTTTGGAATGTGTCATCCCGATGATAAGTTCCAGACCTTGCAGTCGCAGAAGGCGGCTTAATCTTATTGTTATTAACACTGGTTTTAGTCGGCAGATTACTAGGTGTTCGAGTGCGGGTCACCTGCTTGGTCGTGGTAGTGACTTGTTTCGCTGATGAAGATTTTGTGGCAACACGAAATGTTGACTGACGCTTTAAAGCTCCACATTTGGGGTCTGATTCCTTTGATGTAGAAGCCCTATTAAAATATTGACTATTAAGGTAATTACTTACATTAAAAAATATACAAAATGGACTACCATGTTTTAAGACAAATTATTAAACCCAGAGTAATGTTGACATGGTTTACCAAGATACCAGTGACTAGTTAAATTAGGCTCTGTGGACAGTAGTATTAACACAATGGATAGTGTTAATGCGTGTTATATGTAGGCTTACAATTGTATTTGAATTATATGAATTATAGGTAATTGAAATTCCAAATTTTTTCCAAAAAATTCCTAACCTGGAGGGCTTACCATTACATAATGATTTTTCGGAATAAACGGACGATAGATACCTAATACCTCATTTAATTTCCTTGAAAACATGTGATTTACATTATATATTATCAGTTTTCAAAAATTATTATTTATAATTTTTTTGCCACTCTCCGTTACCTTCTACAACTTTCTATATTAGATATTGTATTTTTAAATTCTCCACTTTCCAACGATATATTATAGGTACACCTTCTGACTTGTATAGTGTTATCGGAGATTCACTTATACACTTTCCGGAGATTCATTTTCGACTTGTATAAGCATTTTTATTTTTTTCTCCTTTATTCAATTATTAAATTCTTTCAAAAGTTATATTTAGCATTTTTTTGTAACTTTTAATAATGAGAGATAGTTATTTATTTGAAATGTACCATATTAAAGGTACTTTAGAGGAAGACGTATATGAACATTGGGCATTTAAGCCTTTTAAAGTTACATCAACAGGGATAAGACCTAAATGGTATTAAAGACCACTTAATTATACAATGATACACTGAGTTTAATCAAAATTGTTAGAGCCGTTTTTGAGAAAATTGTAAAAATGTGTTTCAGCGTTAATATAAAGTGGTACTTCCGGTTAGCCGATTTTAAGGAAAACGTTGCCAGGACATCTAAGACATTTATCTATCTTAAATACGTAACATCAGTTTCGTACGAATTTTTGGTTTCGAGCTAAAGTGTTCACATACACACAGACCATTTATCGGGACTTGGTTATTTGGACTCAGGGGATCTCAAAATGTTCACGATCGCAATACTTACACTTACTATATATTACATATATAAGTAAGTGAAAGTAAAAATATAAATCACCTATTCTCTTTGATGTTCTGAGATGTTGCTTCAGAAGATTCACCAGCTAACCTTCTGCCAGTAATAGGCGTTCTTCGCTCAGCTGTACCTGGACGAGACACCCTTGCTGTAGCAGGGGAAGAGGTTCTTGAGGAATCTGAAGAAGATATGGCTTTACCTGTGCCTGACATTCTTCTTGGCTGAGCTTCTGGTGTTTCTTTCCTAACTGGTTTCGGTTCAAGATATCTAGATTTCACCTATATTAAAAGCAATAAATTAGCAACACAAAAAATCACTGAAATGTAAATATTGATATAATTACACTGTTAATTTAATATAAACTAGCTAAGAAATATTTCTCAGTAAAGTAAATAGTTAGCCATTGAAGAGTTAATAAGAGCAAGTCAGTAGTTATGATCAGATCCCTGAAAATAGAGGATTAAAAATGTTTGCTGCTAAGAAGAATCCCATCAATTAAACTTAGAGAATGTAAGCGACTCTGAGGGCAGCCAGGGTGACCTATGCTGAAAATACAGGTAAGAAGCATGGAAAGTATACCTCATCACGGATATGAGAAACATTGATAACAGTGACTACAGTACATAAGATTTGAGGTAGATCTAAACCTAAACAGTTCAATATATCACCATGCTAAGATGCATATGGAGGAGGAGAAAATATGATTTTTTTTTATCTAAATAGCCTGGCTAGACTTTGTATTAGATCGGCTAGAAAAAAATATTGTTAGGTATTGTAAGACTGTTTTTTCTTATTGGTCATTTGGAGAAAATTAGAGTTAAAAAATTGTCACATTTTATGCATTTATTTATTTATCAGTATTACACTGAGTTGAGGTGGCTCTACCCATCCTATCGCCGTCAGTACTTCCTAGCCACCTTTCTGTACCAAATTATTAGAACCCATCGACCCTCCTATATTTTTCACAGCTTACAATTCAAATATTCCATCCAATCCCGTCCCACCAGATCTCGTACTTCCGACCTCTATCCTCCTCCTCACCGAACTGCTGCGTTTGACAAATCCTTTGCAATACAAGCCGCCTCCCTCTGGAATTCCATCCCAGCTGATATTCGACACGCTCAATCAGTTTCCTCGTTTAAACCACTCCTCTTTAAGCACCTACTCCTTTCTCAATCCGATTGATTGTGAAATATATCTTAGAGAAATATCTGAGCACCACCAGAGACTACCTCAATTTATTAAGGTTATTTTAGTTTCTCATACATATGTACAATTTACTTGTTCTTTTTTTTCTCTTTTCTGTATTTTTATCGTAAGTCAACTTTCATTGTAAATATACAATTTAATTGTAGCCACACAGACATATAATCTGTATTCATATTTTGTTCTTAAGGGACAACAGTCCCAGAATAATAAAACATTTTTTTCATTTCATTTCATTTTTCATTTAAAGGCTAATATTTTTCACTTTGTATAACATTTGTTGTTTCCATTTTTTAAAACACTTTATTCAACCCTTTATAAGCTATAATTTCCATGATTTATTTTTCATCAGATTATGCTATTTAGTGATTTTGATTTCATTATTGTGTATTATGACAGTGACATGGCTGAAATAGCATTAAGTTATTGTGGTGAATAAGATCTAATTTTAAAAATTAATTAATATTTGCAAATAAAATCAGCTAAATTTATTCACATTAAGTGGATATTTAATATAAAAATATTTACACATTTTGAGATGTGTATGTATGTACGTATGGATGTATATATGTATGTAAATATATATTTACTAATTATTAACTAGTAACCAAATATTGCAGTAATGGCAAAAAAAAAAAAATTTGATCACACACTTATCTTGTGTAACCTAATAAGAAGTGAGCAATAAATTAAAACTTACTTTATTAAAAAAATATTTAGTCCAATATAACAGTTCAATGGATGTCTTGATACAACATAGGAAAAAAAAAATTAATCAATACATCAACAAAACTACTCTTACGATTTTAGTATAAAAGAAAAACTGGACCACACAAATTAACTAGAAAAACAACTGTTGACAAATATACACTCGTTGAAATTTCGAGCACTTTTATGGAACATTGATGTAAAATCTACTTGAAACCCCCTTTAGAGACATCTACCTTCAGTTAGTAGCTCCGAATAAGATTTCTGTCACTTTCAAAATCATCAGACAGCAGATATATTAATATGGTAGATAAATTGACCAGGACCCTATAAAGAGTTAATATTCCATGGTTGTTATCTATTGCTCTGCCACATTTTTAGGATGTTGTGGTGCTTCACCTGATTTGCAATTTGTAAGCATGTTAGTTATGGGCGGTTGCATCATTATTGACTGCGGCAGTGGCATAATGCATCCTGCCGCCAACAAACCTGTTCATTAACATTGCCCATTATAGAAAATAAATTCTGAAATTGAATGAATTAAATTTTTTATTTTGAATTTAGATAAAATTTTTTTTTTGTTATTTATTAATTGTATAGATGAATCACAGAAATTAATTAATACCCTATTATGGTAAAATTTTTATCACAGGTTGATTCTAGTAAGAATAAATTTAAAGAGTTTTAAACTGAAATTAATTATAATACATATAAAATAAATTTAATAAAAACATCTAAGAACTATGTATGAAGTAACAACTTCATTTCTGAATGATATCCTTACAAAAAGTTGCAAAAATGATAAAAACATTCGATCATAAAGTTTCAGCAATAAATTAAGGCACAATAATAAAACTATCACAAAACAAACCTGTGACAATTTACTGGGTGTCTTTGGTTTCGGAACAGGCGATTGTGTGGTCTTATGAGGTTGATGGTTGGCACTGACGACTGTTTTTCTAACAATTCCAGATGATGGAGCTGGTGATTTTGGTTTGATCTCGGTGGCTTTAGTTGATTTATTAGTTTCCTGAAAGAAACAACAATAAAAACATAATATAATTACAAAATTCTAACTCTTAAATAAGGAGGGAGAAATCTTACATAAGGCTAAAACTGAAAAAGTTATTAAACTAATAGCTCTAAGTATAAAATAATTTTTGTATTTTTCAGCTAAAATAAAAAAAAATTATAAAAACAAAAATAGTAAATGCAGCTATGTTAATTATTATTGGTAATCTTGATACGAAATAGCAGACATACAAAAATTGTATTATTAAAACAAAAAATTAAATAAGAATGAATAAATAACAATAAAAAAATCAATAGGCCCAATATCGACTAAGAGTCTGTTACAATATTTTTAACAGCTAGAACTCGCCACTGAATAAACACAGCTCATCAGTGAGATGAACTCTTAAGTTAAGAGATGAAGTTTTATAGAAAATAAAGCAGGATTTTTCGTTTTCTTTATATTAATCCTGAATTTAACAAAATGTTTAGGTTTGAGAGAATATTCTGTTGTATGGGTGACAATACTTATTAATCATTAAATATTAATGAATTCCGTGTGAGCAGATAGCAATTTTTTCCTAATAGAAAACCTTGTCCCCAAAAGATGATTTCCATTCCTCCGTACCAAATAGAGTAATTGCATTCCCTTATACAGTCCTCCCCTGGTAAGCAAACTTCTTGCAATGCTACTCATTGTTGGTTTTTTTTTTTTTTTTAATTTTTTTTTATTTATTTTTTTTATTTTTTTTTTTGGGAGCAACTTCAAAGGAGTTTCCACCGACCATCCCCACATCTTCCACCCGTGGGACATTCCCTTAAGCAGTAATGACAGCCGTGCGAGGAATAAATAATAGAGGATTAATAAATAACTAAAAATACACCTCTAAAAATGGTTAGAGAATCAGTCAGACTTGCAGCATATAATAGATTAAAAACATACCCTTGATGCTGAGGCCGGCCTAGGACCTGGAGTAAATACTAGGCAAGCTGCTTCTTGTATTCGCCTTCTTAATGCGAGATCCATTTTGGCCCAACTAGTGGTTCGTGCAGCTCGCCCAGCTTGTCTTATCAAACAGTCTTCAATTGATGTCTCCAATTTAGTCAGTAATTCAAGAAACTCCTATGTTATAAAAAAAAAAAACTATTTAATAAAACTATTTATACATATGTAAAGAAAAAAAAATACAATAGAAATTTACATTGTGATAATAAATTATGACATGTACATACTACATTATATAAATAAGCATTAAATATGTCTAACATGGATACTGAATATAACGACCTTGAAGAGACCGAGTAAAATCTGTCTATAATCGTAGTTGTTATATGCAGTTGCAAAAGAGTATAAAGAATAAACTTCAGAAAAGTTATGTTTAATTGTTGTTTGTTACTTCCAATCACTTATAAATATATATATATATATATAATAAGACAAGAAACCACTGCAATTATGAAAAATTGTGAAAATATTCTAAATTTTCATTTATTTTTTCTCTTTTATTTCCTAAATATGTCATCGGTTTTTCATCATTTATTAAACTGTTTTATGACTATTTAGAGCTAGTCTTAAATGAAAAAGAGCAAACAATTTTCCAAATTTTCATTTGCTTTTCTTCTTTTATCACGAGAGTGGGTGTATGTTTGGAAAAATTTTACAATTGTTTTTCTTTAGTATATTTCTAAACTGGAAAATCGATCAAAACATAAAAATCCATTCGGAAAATGTTAGCACTTGTTTTTCTTTTTTAGCATATCTCTAAACATTAGAGAAAACGCCCAACACAAAAATCCATTTAATCATTCATGAGATATTAACGAAAAAACTAATGAAAAGTGATAACATTTTTTCACTAGTTTTTCTTTTAACGGAACTTTTAACTGTTGGAAAATCATTCAAATTATGAAATACATTCACATGTTTATTGGATATAAAATGAAAAATGAATAATAAGTCAGCATTTTAACACTCTTTTCTTTTAGCCTGCACCCGAACTGAGGGAAAATCATTTAAACCATAAAAATCTGGTGCGCGCAACACACAACCTTCACTTACCGCTCAACTTTGAATAGAAATTATTTTCTGGTCATGTTGGGCTATTATAAAATTTTTGAATTGCATTTTTAATTGAGATAAAACTAAAAAATTACAGCTAACAAATCATAAACACCATTAAAATAACAAGTTTTATTTATTATATCTTCGGTTGATTATGGATTGCACGATCCGTTGATTATGGATTGTACGACAATTAGTTATTAAACTGTTATTTTCCAAAGTTTACTAAAACAGAAGTGAGAGATTTGCAATGTCTGTCATAGACAGGTCAAAAGTTGCCATAATAATTGTAAGTGGATACTGTTGCAATCACAAAAGGAAATTTCATCAAACTATTCAATAATTTAATTTTCTAAAAGGTTACATGATGATTATTCGGAATAAACGGACGATAGATAACTAAATATTTAAATATATCAAATCTAGAGTTATTAAACTACAGTCAATATATTTAAGGTTATAAACGTATACATGAAATATTTTTATATTTTACTTCTTCTTTCACACAACTATAATGAAATAGTAGTGGATACTGTTAGAATATCACAAAGGGAAGATTCATCAAATTATTTACTAATTTAATTTTCTAAAAAGTTACATGACAATATTTCGGAATAAACGGACGATGATACCTAATTATTTATATATATAATATCAGATCTAAAATTATTAAACTATATTAAATGTATTTGAGGTTATAAACATATGCTTTAAACATCCATGAAATGATTTTATATTTTGCTTCTTCAATCACACATATGCAATGAAATTGTAACAAACGATTTAATTTAAGCATGGGATTGCCTTGATTAGGTGGATTTTAAATACTTTTTTAAAAATATTTTAAAGTTTACATTTAGTTAATAAATTTTGTTTAATTTCCTTCAAAACATGTGATTAACGTTAAATAATATTAGTTTTCAAAAATCACTATTAATAATTTTTTCGTCACTCTCCGTTCGTTACCTTCTACAACTTTCTATATCAGATATTATTTTTTCTAAAAATTCTCCGCTTTCCAACTAGATATTATACGTATACCTTCTTACTGGTATTTCAGGAGATTCATTTTCGACCTGGATAAGCATTTTTATTTTTTCTCCTTTATTCAATTATCAAATTCTTTCAAAAGTTATATTTAGCATTTTTCTGTAACTCTGAATAATTTGAGATGATTAATTTTTTTAAATAAACCATATTAAAGGTACTTTAGAGGAAGACGCATATGAACATCGGGCATTTAAGCCCTGTAAAGTGACATCGATGGGGATAAGATCTGATTGATATTAAAGACCAGTTCAGTATACAATGATACACCGAGTTTAATCAAAATTGTTAGAGCCGTTTTTGAAAATTGTAAAAATTTGTTTCAACGTTGATATAAAGTGGCACTTCCGGTTAGCCGATTTTAAGGAAAAAGTTGCCAGGACAACTAATACATTTACCTATCTTAAATATGTAACATCAGTTTCGTACGACTTTTCACTTTTGAGCTAGCTGCTAACATACACAAACATAGACATACAGACACACAGACCATTTTGCAGGACTTGGTTATTTGGACTCAGGGTACCTCAAAACGTGTACTTCCGTTGAAAACTCGGAAATGTTCACAATCGCAATACTTTCGCTAACTATATATTACATATATAGATAGGTAAGTGAAAGTAAAAAAGAAATATGGGATTTAAAGCAGTACAAATTACATATACCAATTGGAACAGAAGATTAAAAGCTATTTATTTTTTTTAAGTCGTTAAACAGCACAAATCCAATATTATTATAGGAATCATTAAGAGAAAACATAATTTAAAAAGAAAATACAGTACAGACTTGAAAACAACAATAAACAAATAACTTCACAACCTATAAACAATAACACACAACAACCTTATACAAATAATACATTTCCAAATATTAGGAGGACAACATTAGTTACCAATTTGTGCCATTAGCCATTAACCATTTGATTTAACCCTTGAGCTGGTAACCTATCATACTCAAATTATAGCCATATATAAACAGAATTCATTTATTTTAGTACGATGGTAAGTGAAAGTTCTGTGATCTGTACACCGTACTTTATTTTAAAATTAACAGTCAGCAATCATATTTAGCATTTTTTCGTAACTCTTAATAATGAGAGATAGTTAATTATTTAAAATAAAACATATTAAAGGTAATTTAGGGAAAGACGCACATTAACATTGGTCATTTAAGCCTTGTAAAGTGACATCAATGGGGATAAGACCTGATTGATATTAAAGATAACTTCAGTATACAATGATACACCGAGTTAAATCAAAATCGTTAGAGCCATTTTTGAGAAAATTGTAAAAATGTGTTTCAGTGTTGATATAAAGTGGCACTTCTGATTAGCCGATTTTAATGAAAAAGTTGCTATCATATCTAAGGCATATACCTATCTTAAATACATAATATCAGTTTCGTACAACTTTTTATTTTTGAGCTGGACTGCTAACATACAAACACACAGACCATTTTTCGGGACTTGGTTATTTGAACTCAAGGTACACCAAAACGTGTATTTCCGTTGAAAACTAAGATTAAAAAATTTTCACGATCGCAATACTTACCCTTACTATTACATATATACCTAAGTGAAAGTAAAAATAGATTTGACTGTCCATGAGATAAAGAAGCATAATGAGAGAAGAAAGGAGAACAACTAATGAAAATCTATATATAAACAAATGTTTATCGTCTTGAACTTTATTTATTAATTATTTTCTTCCACCTCACTTCCTGCCCATAGGTCTAATTCAATAAACAACCACTCTTAATTTATAATGTTATTCTTTATTATTTTTATTGTCACTTTGTCCCCTTAGTGTATAATTTTCCCCAGTATTGAGTTGATCTGAGAATAACCATTGAGCAGCAGAAAAATCATTTAATATTCGATCTGATATTTGATTGATTGAAAAAAAAAAAAGTAAAACACTATAATAAGGATAAATTAAACATATTATTATTATATTAAAACATTGTTACCAGTTTCCAGTCAATCACTTCAGGATCAGAATTATTTATATCAGATAAAATTATCTTAATCCTTTTATATGATTGGCAAGCCTGGTCAGGGGATAATGATTTTGAAATATTTAGAAGTGTTTCTTCCAATCTTGTGACGGTCCAGCTATCTTCCTGACCCAGAGTCATAAATCTATAAAAAAAAAAAAAAACTAGAATTGACAACTTTTTATCAATAAATTAGCTGAATTTGGATTTAAATACTCACGCCTGACTTGCTAGTATAGAAGCAAAGTGCTGGCTTATATATTTCACTGTTGCTTCATGAAGTTTTGAGTTAAGAGCAAAAACAGGGTTTGCCCAACGCACATTTGGAATAGTGGCCTCTAACTTATCACAACCCATCACAGTTTCCAAAATATTTTCATTACTCTAAAAATAATCAATATATTACAGCATAAACTATTTGCCTAAATTTTAATTTAAATCATGAACAAACCTCTTACTATTAGCTATTAAGACTAATAATTAGAAGACATTGACTCTTTTAACAATTAATTATGTTTAAAAAAGTCCCAGCAATGATTTAAATGAAAACACGGAGTTAATCCATGTTGCTGTATTATAAATAAATCTTCTATAATTTATGAATGGAAAAATCTAATCAAAATAAAAGAAGACTTATCAAAGAGATTGGATATAATTTAAGCTTAAGGTTTAACTATTATCATAGCCTTTTTATTAGTATCTAACTTTTGGACCTCACCATATAATTAAGGGGGAGGAGCCCTTTTTACTTTTCTTGAAAATCAGTCCACTTGGAAAATTATAGGATCAGTCTTAATTTATTTTAAGTAGTGGTAATTATTGTTCAAGACAAATTTTATGAGTAACATATAAATTCAGAAAAAAAATTACTTTAACAAATTCTGACATAACAAATACTATTAATTATTAAAAGTTCTTACCATATGAACTGTATGTTGTTTATAACACTTTTCATGAAGCTCTTTAGGAAGGGAGGCAAAACCTTTAGTTGGCCATATTTTTAAGAAGTGCTTTGTGATCCACCTTAAACTCTTTCTGTATATCTCATCAAGAGAATAAGCTGCAGCTAGTGGGAGGCATTCGACTACACCCACTAAGCAACCAGAACATGGCTAAAAATGAGATGTTTTAAGTTATTAATGAATCTTTATCATCATTAGATTCAATATAGAACAAAATAAAAAAAGTTTTAATGGATCACCATATAACACCAGGATGACCAAAATATTGGCATAGCCGATGAGTCCTTCATCAATGGAGACACAAATAAGAAAAGGAGATAAAAGGAAGATTAATTACAGGAAATAAAGAATACTTTGATTAATCTAAAAAAGTAGGCTGCTGAGCAGAAATGCTAAAATTAGGTAGTATGAGATGCTTGTTAGACCAGCAATAACAACGGAAGTAAGATATGGACATTTAACAAATCATCTGCTGAAAAAATTGATTGTTTTGAACGAAAAGTCCTCAGATGAATCTTCGGACCAATAGAAGCGTCAGGAAGATGGAGAATACAGATGAACAAGAAAATAAAGCTCTATCAGGAACTGGTAGCATACATGTTTGCAAAAGTTCAGCATATTAAAACATTGAAGGATGTCCACAGAATGGATCATACAAGAATGGGCAAAAGACTAGATATGCATAATCTAGATGGCGTGCACTCAAGAGGTAGATCTAAAACTAGATGGCTGGATTATGTTATCAGTGATCTCTGGAAGCTGGAAATAAATATCAAGGTGGCAGTGGATAGTGAGGAGTGGGAAAGGGTTGTGAAGCAGACTAAGAACAGCTATTTGCATCTGTTGTGTCAATAGAAGACATCACCAGTAAATAACAATGTAAAAACAGAAAACAAAATAAATATTTTAATCAAAATAACAAATATCTTAAGCAGAAAATCATAAATATGCAATGAATGTTATATTCAAAAGATATACTAATTTATTTATTTAAAAATAATTATTTCTTTGAAATAAAAAAAAAATCTAAAAAATTAATAACACTACTTTAGCATTTATCAACAATCTAATCTGTGAGCGATCTCCTTCCTTATCTTATGGTTAAGATTTCATATTTTCTGAAGATCAGAAAAACAAAACAAATTATCATAGATAAATTATTTGCTTCAGGTCATTTCCTTCGATAATTATTTGTTTCTTATTAGGTATTATTATTATTATTTTTAAATATATTATTCTAAATAATAATTTATAGGGACAAATGGTTACTGAATTTCAATGCTTCTGATAAGTCTTCCTGCAAGAGATTGGAAGTTTGAAAAATTCCTTTTATTTCAATAAGGACCATGTTATATTTATATGTAGTTAAAGAGTTGGTATAGAATACAATCTCAAAGATTTTAGGGTAGCCGATGTCCTTCTTCAATTAAGTATGATCCAATACCTTATCAGTAAAGACCATTTGAATGTTTCTGGAAAAAGGGCAGGTGTGCATATGCACAGCACCATGTTGCCCAGCAAGCTGATGGAAGGTAATTTGATAAAAACAATTATGTGTTCGCCACCCCCCTCCCAGGGGAAGGGAGGGCTTTTAACTCTGACATTAATCCCTCCTCTTCATCCCCTCATCTGGGAAACTCCTTATACCCTAAAAAAGGCGAGGAAAAAAATAATAATTAATTTGTAGAACCCAAACTATGAGCTCATGTTATTTTTCCATACTGATTATTTTAACTGAAATTTTATAAGCCTTGCTAACAAGATGAGACACATTTTGATGTTATTGGGTATATATTTTTTATTTCAAACTTTTCCTATAATTCCCTTTAGAGGCTGAAAAATTGTTAAGCAGAGTTTTATTTAAATCCGTTTATTACCTTATGGAAGAAATGGCAATATTTGACTTTTAGAGTATACATGATAACTTCCTTAAGGCCTTCTAAACATAACATGTCAGCCAGTGTAGCTAACTCCACAATATTTATTGTTTCTGGAATTTGACTTGCACCACTGTAGATGTGACATAAAGCAAAGTGCACTGTGTTATAAGAAAACCTGAAAAAGAAGTTTTGGGTACATTATACATTATGATATAAAAAATAAACAGCACATATGAGATATGGAATCCTGAGAATTTAAAATAAATAGTTTAAATTGGTTTGTAATTTGCTTGTTTATAATATCTATATCATTTTTGAGAACACATTAGAAGGATTAAAAAATAATAGAGCCCCTGGAGAGGACAGTATATTTGCAGAAATTATTAAGTGGAGATTTTTTCTGACAGAGATTATATAGTCTGGTGCTAAATGGATTGATGAGGAAATACCTAAGGAATTTGGCTCAGGTTTAATCTTCCCAATATTCAAAAAAGGCAATAAAATGGTATGTGAAAACTACTGGGGAATAATCCTTTTAAATGTTGTATATAAAATTTTATCCAACCTTCTGGTACAAAGACTAAAAATGTATTCAGAAAGAATCATAACGGATTACTAGTGTGTTTTTCGGCCTAACAGAAGTACTAGCGATCAGATTTTTATTTTAAGTGTTTGAAAAGCATGATATTGATGTGCATGTACTGTTTATAGATTTTAAATTAAACAAGCCTTAGACCAGTAACTTGAGGATCGAAACGGAAAATTCATTGCGTAAAATGTAGAAAAAGTTTTTATTTATTAACTTGAATATAAAAAAATGAGATGTAAAAAATTTCATGAAGAAATAACGAATCCCGATTAGAGAAATATAATTAATCTATATTAAAACTATTAGTACTCAGTGGACATGGAATTTGATGCTCTATAACTTTCATTCAATGAGTTTTCTCTTAGAGAACTCATTCCCAAGCTGCAGGGCCCTTTATAGTAATTTGTCTGTTTTTCACGAATTTGGTAAAAATCGACGTTCGTTAACCATGGTTAACAAACATACTACTTGACCAAATTATTAAGTTTAGGTACTCAATCGAAGAACAATTTAACTTTATATAATTTATGAAAGGAAAGGTTTTTCGCTTTGTTGCACCGTTTAGTAACTATAGGTGAAAAAACAAAAAAAGATCGAAGTAATCTGGCTTTTTTGGCTAGAAAAAGTTTTTCCTTGGTGGTCTGCATCAGCAATTTTGTTTTTATATCTCTCAACCAATATATACAAGTTAAACAAATAAAAACTTTTCTCACATTTTTCACAATGGATTTCTCATTTATTGTTATTAAACCAATATTCATTAAATCAGTCGCGCCATTTTTAAAGAAAGTAAGATCCGACTGTCAAACTCATTTTTTAAATAAAATTGTTATAGATATTCAAAAAATACTTTTAAAATTTTCATCAAATAATGTACATTTTCTCTCATGGGCTCTCGGACTATTTGGGTTGCTGGCAAGTGTATTTCGTGTCATCACTAATCTTCATCATCTAAACACTCGGCAGTTGACAATATTGATTTGGGCACATATAAAAAATTCAGTAGCTCACAAGCAAACCATTTCCTATTTTGTTAGGAGATGAGCCATTCTTTTCTAGCTGAAGTTTTACGCTAATAAATTCTTAATTAATGTTTACCTCTATCACCGTACAATTATATTTTCCTATTTAAATAAACTAACGATTAATAAATAAACCAATTATTTTTATCTGCCTCACCATACAATAATTATATTTATCCAATCATTTTTTTAATTTATCATTTTTAATTCTTATATCTTTGTATTTGGGGACTTTATTATTCCATAATTCTGCCAAATTATAGTAATCATCAGTAAAAGACGTAGTTTTTTCGTTCGTCCACTCCATGTTGCACACGATTGGTTGCCATAGCCTACACAATGGTAATGGACATAAGCTAATCAATAAAGCAGAGACATGCAGGCTGACAGCTGGAAGAATGTTATTTTCCAGTGAAATATTTATAAGGGAACATGGAGGTCACCAGAAGGAAAGAACACTAACCAAACCTGCCACATTCTTATACCATCAGTTAATAAGATGAACTTCTTGGATTTACACATTTACAGAAGTACAGAACCATAGGCACAGACTTTGAGAAGGAAAAGGAGGAGGGAAGGATCGCCTCCAATAAAAATATTGAGGAGGCGAGAATATTTCTTGTCACCTCAAGAATTTGAAGAAAAATAACATTAAAATTAATATTATTAATCTACGTCGGGTCTAATTAATATTATTAATCTAAGAATTTAAAGAAAAATAATATTATTAATCTATGTCGGGTCTAATTAATATTATTAATCTAAGTCAGGTTTAAAACAAGATGATTCCAGATGATTCAATATATCAATAGGGAGGTAATGTGTACCGAAAAAAGATTGGATCCGGGGGGTGGGACAACACCACTGCTCAGCTATGCTGATGATCTGGTCCTGTTAAGCGAAGACACAGAAACTATAAAATGAAATAATTTTTTTTTTTTTATTCATTGATATTTTCAACTGTATTATAAAAAAAATACAACTAGTAAATGTGCACTCAGGAATATAATAACATGGAATCGCTTGTTGAGAAACTACCCACTGATAGCACTCAAAATAAACACGGATAAGACAAAATATATGGTTAGCTGCAAAAATGGCGATATTGCCAGTGATATCAATATAGATGATAATATGTTTAAACACATCGAGAAGTTTAGGTATCTAGGGTCTACAATAACTAGAAAACATTTGGTGTGCGCAACACACAACTTTCACCTTGTTTGAATAGAAATTATTTTCTGGAATAATAGGGCTATTATAAAATTTTTGAAGTGCATTTTAAATTGAGCTAAAGCTTTAAGTTTACAGATAACAAATCATTAAGACTATTACAATTACAAAAAATCTATTTATTACATCATAAATAGATATATAAAAGATATAAAATAAAAATCTAGTTACTCCATCTGCTTTTATAAACCACACAACTTCAGTCCCTGAGTCTTTCAATTGACAGAACGATTATCTACAATTTCAACAATTTTGAATAATGTTTTAGTGATATTTCTAGTTGGAAAAGGTGTATCTATACAGACAGTGAATAAGTTGATTCCAGAATAGGTCATTACAGTGCTGAAATATAGACCTGTGAATAAAGGTATAAATTTTGACACTAGAAACATCACTAAAATTAATAATAAAGAATGTTGAAGTTGGAGTTAGTCATTCTGTCAAGCGAAAGGCTCATATATGCCTAGAGAGATTTGAAGGCACATCTGAATATTTAATCTTTAAATGATTATCGATTGTAGGACTATTAGTTATTAAACTGTTCTTTTCCATTGTAAAGTTTACTAAAATGATATTACGAGATTTTCATTGCCTGTCATGGTTAGGTCAAAAGTTGTCACACTAATAGTAAGCCGATAATGTTGGGAATTCACAAAGCGAAAATTCATCAAATTATTCACTAATTTAATTTTCTAAAAGGTTACTTGATGATTTTTCAGAATAAACGGCCAATAGATACCTGATTATTTAAATATAATATCATCTCTAGAGTTATCAAACTACTGTAATTATATTTAAGGTTATAACCATATCCATGAAATATTTTTATATCTCACTTCTTTCACACAAGTCCAATAAAATAGTATTTTAACAATGGCATTGGCTTGATTTGGTGGATTTTAAATACTTTTTTACTTTACTTAGAAAAAAATGTAAAAGTTTACATTCCTTGAAAACATGTGATTTAGATTAAATAATGTTAGTTTTCGAAAATTATTATTTATATTTTTTTTGGTCATTTTCTGTTATCTTCTACAACTTTATTTATTAGATATTATTTTTTCCAAATTCTCTGTTTTCCAATGATATATTAAAAGTATACATTCTGACTGTTATTTCTGGAGATTTATGTTCAACCTGGATAACCATTTTTCTATTTTTCTCCAGTTTTCAATTATATTATTCTTTTAAACTTCATATTTAGCCATTTTTTATAGTTTTATCAATAAAAGAGAGTTCATTTTTTTAAATAATCCATATTAAAGGTACTTCAGAGGAAGACATATATGAGCATTGGGCATTTAAGCTCTGTAAAGTGAAATCAATGGGGGATAAGACCTGAATGGTATTAAAGAACACTTAATTATAGAATGATACACCGAGTTCAATAAAAATTGTTAGAGCCGTTTGTGAGAAAATTGTAAAAATGTGTTGTTATAAAGTGGCACTTCCGGTTAGCCAATTTTAACGAAAAAGTTGCTGCCACATCAGAACAACATAAAAACCTTAAATACCCAATTTAAGTTCTGTATGACTTTTCATTTTTGAGCTAGGCTGTTCACATACACACAGACCATTCTGTGGGACTTGGTTATTTGGACTCAAAGGACCTAAAAACGTGTATTTCTATTGCAAACTCAGATTCGAAAATTTTCACGATCGCAATACTTTTGCTTACTATATATTACATAAATAGGTAAGTGAAAGTAAAAAACGAAATTGAAGAGGAGATTAAGGTTAGGCTGATTAGGAAAATGCTTTTTATTTTTTTGTGAAAAAACTACTTTGCTCGCGCCTCTTGTCCCAGAATTTGAAAACTAGAATCTATAAAACCATTATCTTACCTACAGTTCTTTATGAATGCAAAACGTGGCCGCTTAAATTAAGGGATGAGCCACGTCTTAAGGTTTATGAAAATAAAGTACTGCATAGAACCAGAGAAAAATGAGTTAACCAGAGTTTAGACGGATACACAACACCGAATTGCGTGAACTTTATCTGGTTAATATAATTGAGGTGATTACACCGCGGCGAATCAAATGGGCTTGTAAAATTGTTGGGCTTAGTAACGAATGAATTCACCGTGGGAAGATCGCATTAAAGCCGATTTGAAGGGACTGAGTTTGGACAGCGAACGGTGGAGGGAGGTGTGTAATAAACAATTGGTGGTGTCGGCATTGAACCTTTGGGTTCGCTAAGCCTTTTATTATTATTAATCTACATGAATGAATAAAATATGTTAACTAAAATTGAATAGGAAAAGTTGACTAGCTGGCAGACTAAGGCCTAGAAGTAGGTATGTAAGTATTTTATCATGACCAAAATATTCCTTTTATTTAAATTTTCATTTATATTCAGAGATGATTATATAAAGCATTTAACAAATCTGCCAGTTATTTTTTGAGACATGTTAAAAATATATTTTAAAAGGTATATCTCAAAGTAACATTTCAAATTAAGATGATTAGATATTCCTGGAACCTGAACTAAAATTTAATAAAGTTACACAGTACATATATTTAAAAAATATATATATATATATTTATACCCTTGAAGAGAAATAACATTTCCAGCTGATTCAACCCAACCACCCGACAACATTCCAGCAAAATATTGACATCTTGATGAAAGTATACACTTATGAGCTTTTATTCGACGTCCTCCAACTTCCACAGTCACATCTGGAGAAATTTCATCAAGAAACATACGAAGCAAATCCTCTCCCAACCTTGAGCATGGACCTCCACTAGTACATGAACCTTCTTCTTCTGTACTCACTTCTACAATAATACATTCTTCTATCATTTTATGTGTGTATGATGTGTGGGCGGTATATATATATAACATATACATATTTAAAAGTATACATATATATATATATATATATATATATATATATATATATGTGTGTGTGCGTAATAACTGTAATACAAGTAATTATATTATTATATATATAAAATATATAATATCATGAAAAGTATATTTTAGATAAAGAGGCTATAAATAGTTTATATTTTAAAAATAAATTATAGAATCACAAAACTGTAATACAAGTAATTATATTATTCTGATCATACTTTAAATAGAAAATAGAGAATCAAAATTACACTAAATTCAATATACAGACTCATGTCGCTGATGGCTGATCGTGAACAATTCATCAATAAAATAATAGTTATGGTTCAGTCAATATTCGATCAATCTTCAATTACTTTATCAATTAATAATATACCACATGCAATACTCACCAATAGGAGAAGGTTCCACAATGCTTGAGTGTAAACTGCTCTGCAAGGAACTATCTCGTGATTCAGATTTTGAATATAGATGTGGAAAAAGCCTGCTAAGTGATCTACTAGAAGCAGAATTAGTAATGATTTTACTATCAATCCATGACCCTTCAGGGATACTTCGGGACATTCTTGAACCCTTTACAGATGGTTTCCAAGATTGCTGGGCTGGTTCCTTGTCCATATCTGATAGCTTAACGAATCCACCTGCGGAATCTAATGCGGGTTGGGAGGTAGAGTGCTCAGAAAGTTTTGGAGTGTTTTGATCTACGTCACAAACTGAACTCTTGTTAGTTGCATTTGAACTGGTCGATTTCTGATCTTGGATAAGATCAGTGACAGAGTCATCCTTAGAGAGATCACTAACAATGTCATGGCTTGGGGTCGACAGCTCTAAATCATTTGTGTTAATATTAACAACTTTGGAAACATCATCAACCACAAATGTACGATTCACATCTTCTTTGCTAGATAAAGTTGTATTAGATATATCAAAAACATCATCACTTTTAATACTACAACTCATGTCTTCCCCTTTGTCTGGAAATTCAGTTTCAGAACTTTCTAATGGGTTCTGTGTTTCTTTTGCTTTTTCCTTCAATTCATGTCTGCTACCATTAGATATAATCCTAGACAATTCAGAAGATGGTTTTATAGGTCCATGCCATGAAGCAAGCACTGAATTACCATTTCTTTTTTCTCTTTGTTTCAACATGACATCTTCAATTGAAGATGGTCCAGATGAAAATCTTTCTTTGTTATACGACTCATCATAAGATATACTGCTAGATCGCTTGTGCTCTTTCTTATTTCCATATGTTTCTGATTTAAAATTTAGCTTGTACTCATTATTCCATGAATGCCTGTTTGTATTCTGCTTGATACCAGAAGGCAATGTTTTTCTTCGAGTAACAGGAGATTCTTCATTTCCAATAAACATATAAAAGCTTTGCCTTTTTGTAATAAAACCAGAATCATTATTGGAACTATCTGAAAAAATATGAGTTTGCTCTGAGGACTCATTAAATAATAAACGACCTTTTGCAATTTCAGGATGCTCTCCAAGGTCAAGACCAGAATCAGAACTTGTAGAATTACTTTTCTTATCCAGATGTTTAGCGGTCAAACGTTCAGCAACAGATGGACCTTTGTTTCGTTTGCTAGGGAAAAATGGAGAACCAGGTTTACTTTTTGGAGAAGTGCTATCAGATGATTTTGAGTTTCCAATATCGATGAACATTGAAAATAATTTTTTCTCATGACTAGGCTGCTGTTCAGATTTGTTGAAGATTTTCTCATTATTTTCTTTAAGATCAATAAAAAATCCACACGATGAATTACTTTCAGTAAGAATGTTTTTCTTTAGTTGCCCGGAATCACTTCTCTCAGCAGAACTAGTACTAGTAAAACTGTCAAAAGACGGGTAGGGATCATCAAGTGACACAAAGAAACCCGTTCCAGAATTACCAGAACGGTTCCTATCCATTTTGTTATCAGTTAACGATTCTGGCGGAGATTTGCCAGAGCCGCTCATGTCCACAACCCATGATGTATTAAGTGAGGATGAAACTTTACTTTTTGTTTTACCTTGTTCAACAGATGACAATTCGTCAAAACCACCTGATAATATGGGAGCGAATTCAGTTTTTCTTCTGGCAAGGGGACTTGCACTAACTGAATATTCAGAGCTCGATAAATCAGAAAATTGTGAACCTCCAGAAACAATGGGAGTTCGTTCTATTTTACTGAAGTAACTGTCTACAGCTGATTCAGAGAGTTTAGATAATTCTGTTTTTCGAGATGATACTTCAACATTTGGGGAACAATCACTAATAAATGAATCTGAGGTTTTATTTTTGTCATATGAGTCATTCAAAGTATTAATTTTAAGAATATTAATAGGCGATGAAGTGATATCAAATGCATTGGAATCTTTATTTTCAATTGAAGATTCACCTTGCGTTGTAATTGGCAAATTTTCATTTTTCTCACATTCACTAATAGAATTTAAAGTTTCAACAGGTTTTTTTAAAATACCATTATTGTTAGCAAATGAATCTAAATGAAAATCATTGTTTAAAGAATCCGGCGAATGCATGTCTTCTTCATGAGGACTACGCAATGCCATTTTCTTATCCGAATTTAATTTGTAATCATGAGATATATCTTTCTCATTAACATTACAACCATTATCAGTATGAGCTGTATCACTTTGTGACTTTTCATACTCCTCTTTAAGCCTAGATAGAGTAATATCATCAGGATCAAGATCAAAAGTATTACGCCTGATTAATGTACGATTCACTTCATCTTTTTCCTTAATACTATTCAATTCTGGGTTAGTTTTTGGATCTTTATCTAAAAACACTTCTACTTTTCTTACATCTAAATCAGACTTATCATTTGCATTTTCAAGTGACATATCATCACAATTATGAGTCTTTGGTTGCATTATATTTGTACTTGTAAATACTGGATTCCGAATATTCGGTAAGTACATTTCATTCTCATCCCTTAGACTAGCTGCGTCAATAAAGAAATTATTTGAAATGGCATTACTAGAACTGAACTCCTCATTAGTTAATGAAGATGGGTATTGAGTTCCCCTTTTTAGATTTATAAAAGAACCATTTTTTTCAGAAAAACTGTACATATATTCAGAACATTTAGCTGATTCTGCCTGTTTGTCTAGAGTTTTTGTATTTCCTTCTTCTTCGGGACTTATTGTACTCATGATGTTACTCTTTTCTTTTAAAAATACAATGCTGTCTGATTTTGTGATGTGTTCAGAATTTTCTTTTTCAATAAATGTATCATCATCGTTAGTAGGAAATGTAGAATCCCATGTACCAGGATCTGAAGAAACTGATGAAGAGCCTCTGGATTTGTCATCATGAGGAATATCTTCAGAAGTGGCTACTTCTGTCGTATCAGCTCCAAGAGCTTCAGAACTGTTGGTGTCTCGTGGACTACATCCTGTTACGTAACCAGAAGAAACAGGCTCTAAAAATGAATCTGGATTGCTCATTATATCCTCTTCCTTTTGCCCAATTCCTTGTACCCTATTCATATCATCCAGTTGATTCTGTAATTTCAGTACTAATTTTGTTTTCACATATGGTTTCAGTTTAGTATTAAATTGTTGAGGTCTAGAAGGCTTTTGGGAAACATCTTTTTTGGATGGATTTTTCGATTTTATGGTTGCATTGGAGAGTGGTTTTTGCCTGGTTTCTTTGATGATAATAGAACGAAATGAATTGGACAATTCATCCTGTTCTGCAAGCTCTTTCTCAAGAACTTGCTGAGATCCTTCTTCGAAATGAACTAAAGAGTAATATACTTTATGGCTGACTCCATGGTAAGGCTCAATTAGATGAGGTTCTGAGGGAGAAGCTTTGGGAGTAACAAACACATCAGAGTCAGGACTCCCAACATCACACTCCTTCTCACCTCTTAATATACGTATCTGTGCAACTACGGCATCTTCTTTGTGTTTGAGAATATTTCTGTTGTACACTTCCCTAAAACAAAACAAATAACACTTATTTATAAGGAAAGACAAATTTTACATTGAAGCAGTGGTATTCTCAGCTTAAATTACCTATTAACAACAAAATCTTTTCTATCAACATCTTTTGCAAAAAGACAGTGCGTTAGGTTTTTTACTACTTAGTATTCATATCTTCAAACTGAGGGATCAAGGCACATATATTTGTCTCATGAATTTTTCAAAACAAATTCAGCTCAGACTCTTAGAAATGCTATCATATTACTGACACACTAGGTCCTACAAAAGTTCAAGATAGGTCCACTCACTCAGGTATGCATTCTATTATTGAACAACATATGACTCAAGGTCTCACTGAAATAATTTATTATAGTTGATTCAATGCTCAGGTATGAAGTATATCTTTACAAAAGTTCAAGATAGGTCCACTCACTCAGGTATGCATTCTATTATTGAACAACATATGACTCAAGGTCTCACTGAAATAATTTATTATAGTTGATTCAATGCTCAGGTATGAAGTATATCTTTGGTAAACAAATGAGGTTTTTAATGTCAGCTCTATTCTATGAAAGAATCAATGGACAATAGCAGATACTAATGTACCAAGATCAAACTGCTATCATAAAATTATATAATTTTTATTAGTCAAAAAAATATTTAGAAGATAACAAAAGTACCAGATAACCAAAAGAACCACGGTATGTAACTAATAGCATACCAGTCATAGGACTGATAGTAAATTAAAGATGAGTTTTTTTTTTGATTAACCAATCAAATAAAAGTAATAATAACGGAAACTCGACCTCAAGGAAACTACCTCAAACAGACCCATATGTCTAACTTCTTTCCTGCTAAATGTAATGGAAAAGATTATGGATGGACATATTACAGATTCTAAGTTAGTAGAAATACAGTTATAGTGTGCTCACTTTGTCTATCAAGTCAGTAAATCTATTGATCAAATAAATAAATCAAGTCGTAGTAGAATCAAGTAGTGGAAAAGATTATGGATGGACATATTACAGATTCTACGTAAGTAGAAAGATCGCTATACTGTGCTCAATTTGTCAATCAAGTTTTAAATATAAAATAAATCAATTGATCAAATAAATAAATCCAACTAAGTCGTAGCATTATTTTATCTCTAGAATCGAGAAAACTTTATTACAGAAAGGGATTAAGGCAGGCATCTTTGTCGACATTGAAGGTGCCTTTGATCATACTCCCTACGATACAATAGCAAGGAGTTGGACTTTTGGCTTCGAAATAGATTAACTCGGTTCTGAGGGAGAGTCCTTAAATCTGAATTAGGACAAACTGTACTGTGGGTTAAAACTGTTGGAGGTTGTCCACAGTGGGAAGGGGAGGCGTGTTGTCTATACTTTTGTGGTGCTTGCTCGTTGACTGCCTGACAGCTAAACTGAACAAGGCTGCAGCAGGGATAGGGTGAAAAGTTCTGGATGCAATCTCTGGACTGTTCGTAAATATGATGAAACTTCTGAAAGAATGGTGCCAGAACTATGGGCTTGGTGTAAATCTGCAGAAGATAATTCTTTATATCTTCACTAACAGAAGGAATGTCAATATTAGATGGGTCTCCGTCATTGAATGGGTCACCATTTAATATCTATAGTGAAGTAAAACATCTTGGGATTACTCTGGATAGTAAGTTGAATTGGCTAAGTCATATTGAAAAGATTAGAAGTAAGACTCTATGCTCTTTATGGGCGTATAAAAAGAGTTGATGACAAATCGTGGGGGTTGAAACGCAGTATGGTCCTATGGCTATATAGGACTGTGGTTAGACCCTTAATCCTCTATGCAATTGTGGTGTGGTGGCATAGGGTTGCTGCAAGCAAGCCTAGAGTGCTGCTTGGAAAACTCCAAAGGCTTGTGTGCCTAAAGACTATTGGAGCTACGAGCACTACTGCCACTGCTGAAATGGCAGTAGTAGCACTGAAATGTCAAGTTATCTTGAACTTGACAACCATTGCACATACCCTGTGTGTGGTGAAAAGAGGTGGAAGCCCATGCTCTTATAACTGCCTATAGAATGGATAAATTGGGAACGAGATCGAAATTCCTGACATTTCAGGGACATGGGATTGTGTCTGATAGGATTGATAGCAATGAGGTGCTTGCGATGAACTGAGATCTTCAAGTTAATAAATATAGAGACATACTCTATAGTTCGATGATGGAGTTGACTGTTATGATACAGTCCTTGATGGAGCAAGGATCAGGGGTTGGAGTCTCAAGAAAGGATAAACCTTATGAAAGAATATTCATATCTCTGCGTAGATATACGTCCATCATTCTGGCCGAGGTTTTAGCTATCGACTTCTGTGCTCAATACCTAAGAAGGGAGGGTATTACGAACAGACTGATTTGTGCCAAAAAATATATTAAGGCAGCTGCTGGCAATAAAACTAGGCTCTATTTCTATATACTCTATTGGAAACAGGTTGGGAAACAAACTCACTCTTCACCCAAGTTGTTCCTAGAAGAGCCCTGTCACAAGAGAAACGTTTCATTTCTTCTAATGGACAGGAGCACCATTAGGTGTGTGAAAGGAATGTACACTTGTGCCTGTCGACTCAATAAGCACCTCTTTGACTTGGGCTTATATGAGACTTCCACCAGGCTGTGTGGCTTGGAGGATGAGACCAAGTTTATCACATTACATGCAGATGTGGTAACTTGGCCAGCGGTACTTTCAAGTTGGATCTGATAGTATCACTGACCCCAAACGCTGCGAATTGATAGATTTCATAAGTATTAACAAGTTTGCAAAGTCATTTGGCCTGTTTTAACAGAGTTTAAGTCGACACACAATAGGCCTCAATGATGACGTGGTGTATTCTAACATCGAGTAAAAAAGAGCATACAAGCATAAGAGAAGTGACGTACCCGGGAGTCAGATGCATGAGAGGATTCGGTGTTACCCTGTACATCTCATACCTTAAAAACAGAGTGACTCACTCATTGAACGGACTGTCAAGGATAGAGAGTGCCTTCTGGGGAATTAAATACCTGGCTCCTAGTCTTATGGATTAATAAAGATAAATTGAATAAGCATAGAAAGAATATTGACAACCGGTGCCTTTCATGTAGGGTTCCCAACACAGAGGAACACACCATGCTGACATGCGCACAAATGGACCAACATCGGATGTGACTGTACAGGAAAACTGGGTTATACAATTTTGAAGATTTCCCACGACTGATGGGAGAGGATAACTACACCTTCTTTATGGAGTACGTGGGAGGTATTGGTCGCCGTATGCACTTCACCCTGGGGAGAGAGTACCCAACAGAAGAGGGGGAAGAAACAGAAGAGGAAGAATCGGCACCACAAAGGCCAAGGGACATGGAGAAGTCAGAGGAGGAGCTGCAAGATAGAAAGAATGGTTGATAGGCACCGGAGAACAATGTTTTATTGTTCCCAAATATATGGACATATCCTTATTATATCTATATACAAATAAAGTGTGCAATGAAATAAAGAGAATTATATAGGTGGCAGTGACATGCGAGACACCCCTAATGCCAGAAATGGCTAAGTAGAGTGAAAAACTAAAATAAAAAAGTAATTATTGGAGAGAGGTGCATATAAACAATCTGCATTTGTGTAACTGGAATCAAAACTTTAATTTGAGTAGTCTAGTTTTTCATTCTTATAATTGTATCATACATATATTTTTAAAACTTAATATTCTGACACAAAACAAACACTAAAAATTAAAAAGCAGAACAAAATGAGGATAATTTGGCACTGATTTTTATGACCATAATTCAAAACATTTATCTTTGCCATCTGTTAACTAATAAAGCATTGCTTAAAAAAAAGAAATAAAATATTATATACTAGGTTAATATATAAATGGAGTACTTGCATGAATTTTAATTTTTTATTTATTGGTAATAACATTAAAAAATCCGGTACGGTGCGTGCATCACATAACTTTCACTTACCACCCTTTCTTTAAAGCAGAAATAAATATTTTCAGATAAAGGGAAGTGAAAGTAAAAATTATGGACAGTAGAAAACATTATTTACAACAATTAATTACCTTTTTTTTTTTGCACAGCCGTCTAATGTACTATATCATATTTATGAATTTTTTGTCACTAACCATTTTCTTTTACGACTGTATATTTTAATTATTTATTTGATTATAATAAATAATTAAGTGCCACAAAATATTTTTAGTTTGATAAGAGTGTCACTAATACAAGCTGCTATATGTGTTTATATTTCATTTTAGATATTTTTATTTGTTTAAGCATTGGTACAAATTTGAATTTTTATATTTCTGAAATCTATACAATTGAATATTAAATAATACCACCACTGGCATTTATGAAAACTGCAAATGTACATGTATGTAATATTATTATTAACCGTAAAACAAAAAAAATTATGGAATTTTTCTAATGCATGTTTGCAAATACCATCTTTACAGGAAAGTGGATACATAAAGGGAATGGAAGAAGGAAGTCGAGGAAGAGGCTGCTAGTGCCTGACTCATCTGTTGACTACTTCATACTTTTTTTTTTTTCTGTTCTCGTACTTCAGGCTATACAGGGTTTTCCCGGGTAAGAGGTGAGAGGAGGATTAATGCCAGAGTTAAAATACCCCGGCACCGGGAAGCAAACTCGTGATTATTTTACCGTTCATAACTTTTTTTTTGGGTCCTCTCCTTTAAAGCTATACAGGGTTTTCCCAGGCCAGGGAGTGTGGGCGGGAATTTAAAAGACGGGACGCGAACTCGTGACTACATTTTATCTTTGTATCATATATCAAGGTCGCCAGGCAACGGCGGTGCTGTGCACACAGTTTAGCCTGTTCGACCACCCCGCCCACAACTTAGGTTATCAGGTTGCCAGGAAAAGCGCGGTACAGTACACATGTAATGTAATAATTTAGAGATGGCTATATAGTTGACTGTTGAAAATAAATTGGAAGGATGAAAAATGATCAGGATGTGCAGACAAATAATTATGTTAATCGAGTTTGCAGAACACTAAGGGTAAAGAATGTTCCTAGAAGCCTGGTTGAGGCCATTAAATCTATATACCAAAATTCAAAAAGAATAGTCAGACTGAATGGACAGGAATCTGTCCCCTTGGCTATTTTAGCATAGTTAGGGGGTTCAAACAAGGCGATAGTTTAAGCCCGTTGCTATTCACATTATACATGGATGAAATAGCCGCAATCTGCAAAAAGAGAACAGAAAGGACGTTTCTGGGGTAAAACAATCTGTTTTCAGTTGTAATTCAGTTTCTTCTATATGCAGACAATATTGTCCTCATTGCAGATTCCGTGGAGAAACTACAGCAGGCAGTTGCCGAATGGAACGAAGAGCTCCGCAGGAAGGGTATTATCATCAGTACAAGAAAGAGCAAGATCCTACAGGTTGGAAGGGTACAGGAAGACGTTATAGTGTATTGTAAAGGAGAGGTGATGCAAGTAGTGTCAGATTTCACCTACCTTGGTACTGTAATGGATCGGTCCGGGAATGTGGATTCAGAAATTCTGAACAGGATAAGCAAAGCAAACGCTATATACTACCAGATCTGCAATACTGATCGGAAAGAGAAAAGTGAGCAGAGGTGTAAAACTGCACATAGGCACTGTACCTGCCTGTACACCTGTATCTGTATGGTGCAGAAAGCTGGGTGCTGACTGACAAACTGGAGAGAAAAATAACTGCTGCAGAAATGAGGTTTCTCCGAAGGATTGCAGAGAGAACGAGACGTGACTGCATTCGCAATGAGAGAATTAGGGAGGAATTGGGGATTCCCTCGATGAAGAATATCCTAAAGACTCGGCAGCTTAAGTGGTTTGGACATGTCGTCGGGATGGAAGAACACAGGGATCGATTAAAGTCTATGGACTATGTCCCCGATGGTAGAAGACCCTGCAGCAGACCGACAATGTCGTACCTTGAATACCCAGACCGTCTGTGCAAAAACAGAAATAAGAATATACGCCAAGCCAGAAATCTTGCAAAAATCAGGGAACATTGACAATCCTGGTTAGATGCTCCCCTACACTGAAAGGCACTACAGGGTAATGTAAAAACAGAAGAGTTTGCAGACGTATTGACCCAAACATGTGGTCATCATCAGAACAATGGTTTGAACCATTGTCTTGATGACTGACATGTTTGGGTCGAAACATCAATAAACATAATTTTTAACTGCACATCCAGACCATTTATCATCCTTATAATATACATCATAATGTGTAAGCTTAATTTTACATTTCTGTTGTAGTTGTGTTTGGATGTTGTTATAAATACTATTGTAACAATAAAATATTGGTAATTACACAAATGAAGAAAATAAGAAACAAAAACAGCACAATGAAATAAAATCTTGCTTCTGTCTATTATATATGAGAACAAGCAGTTTCTTGTTTGTAACTGCTAACAGCCAAAACAACTGAACTAATCATTACCAAATTTAAACTCAATCTTCTTCTTAGTCTCTGGAAGGATTAGCAATAATAAAATCCCACAATTTTTCAGTAATTTGAATAATAATTTAACTATTACTAAAAGACTAAGATGAAGAGTTTATTTTGAATGCAAAAATTACAAAAAACTATCGGGACAATTCAAAATTTGTCTTTGTTTGCATTAATTAATAGATCATTGAAGAACACTTTAGGCTCTATAATAAGATGGCTACAATCCAAGGAATGGAACAGCAACAGCAATTACGCAAGCACATCGTTTGCTTGATACCATAAATATTGTTTGGTGTAACTAGAGATTAACCAGAGAAACAAATTTTCCCGTTGCTACTTTATCTAGATCAGATTGCAGAGGAAATCAGTGTATATTTATCATGACCAGTTATTGTAGGAGAGTGGAGGAACAGGAATATAGAGGAAGAATGGAGTAGAGACTGTCTCATTGACAACAGCCAAGGTATACTTTACCACAGAGGGAAATAAAGAAAAATATCATTTACTTAAAGTTTTATATCAATAGTTAAAATAATAATGTTTTTCAAAATATTTTTAGTAAACATAGATCATTAAGCTAACGATGATTTTGTTACTTTTTTGTTCTTCCTAATAAATCGGATGTAATCCAGTAAATCAGATGCACTAAGCCATATACTCATAACATATAAATAGACGAGTATAATCTAAATTTATCACAAGGAAAACCGCTGGGCAATTCTAGTCTTATTTATGTACATTCTTTATCTCTCTTGAATTCTACTGCAGCTCAAATGTTTGCATTTTTATTCTCATGCAAGTACCCAATTATTCTTAACAGTACAAAGATGGCATTTAATTAATGATGAAAGAAGAGATCTAAATTTTAATTTAAAGATAAAGCAATTACAGTTCAATATTCAAAAACAAAAGCAAGCAAACTGCCTCACATATAATACATACAATAAAGCTTAATGTTAATATGGAGCGAAATTCAGAAATAAATAAAATCACATCAAATATTTAGTTTACCAAATATTTAACTGCTGAGCAAGACAAAACTAATAACATTTCTATTAAAATGACGAATTAAAGAAAAATTCAAAATGTGCATTAAAAATTTCAAGCTACTCTATTTGCAATCCCAAAAAATCCCTCACCTAATAAATGATTCAATTAGGTGTAAGCTGAGATTGCTCCAAGCTGAAGTATTGTTTCTATGCTCCCAGGAAGTAAGTTCTTTATAAAAGTTAGGTACTCTTGTCTCTAAGAGGCTTCTATGTGTTCGAATACTTCCTGAGGTGAATAATAAATCCAAATCGGCAAACAGACAATCAGTGTAGATCCTGCAATACAGTTTGTCTAACGGATACTTACTGAGGCCATTCATAAAACTCTTTATCAATTTTATAATATATTTTAAACCATGTTTTATATTAAGTGAGGCAAATATAAAAATATTGATTAATTCTAATCCTTCAGCCAATAAAAAAAGTCATTCAACAGTTTGCCACTAAATATTCTAAACCAGACCTCTGGCAATCATATATATAAATATATACATACGCATATAAACATATTATATAATCCAGCTGGTAATGTACAATAATTGTACAAATTATACTATAATATAACAAATGCTTATGAAAGTGTTTAAAAGAACTAGATCATTAAAATTTAGAAAGCTAGTATAACCAAGTTAGGGGAGAAATTAGAAGAGTGACAGTTGAAGGGAAAGGATCAAACATGTTTCTCTAAAGATCATCCATTTATATCTACAAAAATGAAATGAATAGAAAAATAAGTAGGGAAATATTTAATATTCACTAACATATATCTTAATGTTATTTCCCGACATTATGGTGATACTGAATGTTAAAATTTAATCTTATTGATTCGATGATACACTCCCTCACTAATAAAAATTGATAGAATACTTCATGAAAAATAATAAAACAACAACAAATTCATTATATTTAATATCCACACTAGTTAGTTACAAAACATTATAAAAATCATTACAAATAAAACTATATATATCCGAACAAATCTAAATCAGGATTTCAAAAACAAGAACAAAAAAATGTATTAAAATATAATCTTCCAATTTAACAGGCAACTAAACGGACATTTAAAAAACAGTCCAAATACCATTAAAAGAAACACATATAAAAATTAGTAAGATTAAATAGTTAATAAAAACTTGCAGGACTTTGAACTTTACAATATACCGCTTAATGCATTAACAAAGAAATATGGTTAATAATTACTTACTTACTATATCTAACTATAAAACAGTTAAAAAAATTGTTCTAAAACAATTTAAGAGTAAAAATTTACACAAGTAACATTAAATATCAATATTCTTTAAACACTGAAACATTATTTACAAATAATTCTATTTATAACCTTCAACATTTCATAGTAAAAGGGAAACAATACATACCTAGTAATATCCTGTTTTAATCTATCATTAAGTCGACTATTTAATGTACAGAGCTCAGCATTTGCCCTCTCCTGAAACGCCACTGTTAAAGGCGTAGAGAGGTGCCTTTCTGCCATCAGTCATGGCTCTCTCCATACAACAACTAGGTTCAGATATATCTAGCAATAAAAACATATGAATCACCGAAGAGAAAAAATATATCTGAAATAACATCTATCAAATATCAAAAGCTACATGTTATTAATATAATCAATAACAAATGAAAATGTATGTAAACCAACCACCAACAAAATTATTCAATATCCAACTGAGAAATAAATCTCTCAGGTTCAACACCAGGCACTTATAATAACTCATAACTTGTAATCAGTATTAAACTAAGGGGCTGATACTTGAAAGTAATATAAAAACTTATTTATTAACTTCAAATTTGAGTCAGAAAAAGGAAAATATAATTTAACCTAAAAGCAAAAAAAACAAACATTTATTAATCAAATTTCTGACTTATATTGTCTTCCTTTTAAACTCACCAGAGAAAATTCAATGAAACAAATTAAATAAAACACAACAATCAAATCACTTGACAAGAAACCGTATCATGGAAGATAGACACATTGTTACAAACGCTTACTTGATTAAAACAAATGAAGCAATCCTTCAAAATAAGGTCACTGTTGAGAAGTAGTTTTCTTTCTGTAAATACTTTTCAAAATATATTTTAATTTTTATAAGATGGTCTGTCTGGAATATTAATCGAATTTAATGTCATATTTGTGAAATAAACTCTTTGATGACGGTATAATCTATAAGTAGGTTTCATTAAATTTGGGTTATCGTTATTGTTTATATTTTACTTAAGGAGCTATGTTTATTATTGTGAAATGAGTTTTTGAAGTTTGTTTTTTTCGTTATTGGACATTACAAAAAAAAAAGCATCAAAATGATGTCAAGCTGCAGATTGGAAAATTCTGCTGGTCCAAACACTGCAGCTCCCCAACATGGGATTATGAATTCTAAGGAAAAGGAAAAGTATATTGAAGAATATGACTTTCCATATTGTGATGAGGCATCCAAGTATGTCAAGATCACCAAAATTGGACAAGGTACATTTGGGTAAGTTTTCATGTACTATAATAGGTCTTGTTATTATGTGGAATCATGTTTCATAATACTTATTTGTTTTATACAGTGAAGTTTTTAAAGCTCAAGAAAAGAATGGATCTAAAAAACTTGTGGCAATGAAAAAAGTTCTCATGGAAAATGAAAAGGAAGGGGTAAGTTTTTGTTGTAATGTTTAATAATTATAACAAAGAAACTATAATTTGTGGCTTTTAAATTAGATTCTTAAGATGGCACAACTTTGATGGTTGGCACAAGTTGTCATGATGACAATGTCAATTGAATTCTGAGAATGATTGAGAGCATCGGAAAGTAGAGGTGGTGACCAACCTCCTGGTTAGGCTCCAACCTTAGCTGAAAAGCAGTTGTGTGTTTGTACCTTTTGAGCAAGCATAATTCAAAGTCAGTAATGTAAAAAAATCTATCTAAGGCCTAAATTTCATTTTAACAGAAAAGGACCAGTTGAGAGTTAGTAGGAGCTCTTAATTGCAATCAAATTAAAGGAAGGTTATCCTCTGAAACACCTCAATATTTAGCCATTCTCAGAATTGTGAAGTAATATGTCATTTGATATTTAATACGTTGGTTGGGCATAGTCACACAGAAGTAAACACATTAATAAGAAAACTGGTTTTGTTACTGCTATACAACTGTAACTCCATCTTATCCATGTTCACAGTGCAAATGTCATTCCAAGAACAGCAGAGGATTAACATGCTCACTGTATTATCCCAAGAGTTATCTATATCTAATCCCCAAAATAACCAAGTATACATGAAAGTATAAGAAAGTGCCTTATCTTGATATGGCTTTATCTCTATATGTAATATACTAATAATCTTGATTAAAATAGATAATAGGTTGTTACAAAAATCCTTGTGCATTGACATAGCTTTATTTCATATATTACATATTTTAAACATTATTGAATACTACTCTTTAAAACAAATTCCATTTGTTATTAATTACTTTCACCCACCTTTTGGTCAGTAATTGGATTTGATGCCTGCATTCCTTTGGTTTTGTGGCAAAGAACTCTTTACGTCCTCATAATTATCAAAGAACTGAACTTTTAAAAAACGAGTTGTTGATCTAAACAAACCAAAATCTGATGGGGGCAATTTATGGGCTTTGTATAGGATGAGTCAAAACGTTTGCTGCTTGCAGTCCCGATAATTCTTCATTGGTCGAACGAAAACAATGTGCAGAGACATTGTCATGTTGCAAAATGGCTTGGTTCCTGTTGACCAAAGTGATGTACTTTACTCTTAAAACTGCTTAAACTCTATCTAGCTGTTCGTAGGAAAGGTTTGAGTCCACTGTCCAAACATTAGGAATCAGCTCAAAATGCAAAATGTCTTAGAATTTCCACCAAACACAAAGTATCACTTTTTCCCCAAACTGATTTTGGTGAATCTCTGGGGTTATGCAACTTTGATGTAAACCAATGGTGATTTATGGAAACAGATGTATGTCTGTTCAGGATGATTTAGGAGAACAAGATGACTCTGAAGGTTTGGGTGAGAAACATACTGTGAAAAATATTTGACTTAGTAAATGACAATGGGTATCAGAGAATAAGAAAATAACAGCGAGCTTGAATAACTTTTTGGTAAGTCGCATCAAAAATATTGTGGCCATCATCAAAGAAGGAAGCCTGCAGTAACTAGGCCATGTTAAAAAAATGATTGCCAAATGAGAGGCTAACAAAAAAGACAATGAATGGCAGGGCAGAAAGAGGTTGAGCGGAAGACCAAGGTTGATGTGCTTAGATGATGTGGATAATTTGAGAAGAACTGGAGTGAGAGGATGGTGAAGGAAGGTAGGATATAGGATAAAGGCCAGAATAGCTATCATTTCTATTTCTTAGTACTAAAGTTCAATTAGAGCTGTAATGCCATTAAGTTAGAGGGCAATGTGGCCAAGTGGGCTAATGTGTGTGTAAAACATGTGTTGCCCAGCAACCTGATAAACTAAAGATGACGAGTTTGAATCCTAGTGCCTAGAGGAGAGATTTTCAACTTAGGCATTAATTTCCTGGCCCAGGAAAACGTACATCCGGAAAGATGAAGAAAAATAGAAGGAGAAAAAATACCATTCTCATAGTTAGTTATAGACAAGTTTAGATTAGTATTATTATCATTTATTTATTTTTTCAGTTTCCAATCACTGCATTAAGAGAGATAAGGATTTTGCAACTCTTGAAACACGAAAATGTTGTGAATCTTATTGAAATTTGCAGAACAAAAGGTTGGAATTCACATTGTATTTTAGTTTGATATTCTTGAAAAAATAATTGTTATTTTAATACTATGTGTTCTCTTTTTTAGCTAATCATTACAACAGATACCGGTCCACATTTTATTTAATATTTGATTTCTGTGATCATGATCTAGCTGGACTTCTTTCAAATGTAAATGTTAAATTCAGTTTGGGTGAAATAAAAAAGGTGGTTCAACAACTACTGAATGGACTTTACTATATTCATAGTAATAAGGTGAGCAATAGTAATAAGGGTTAGGCTTTAGCCTAGTAGTTTAAACATAATGGCATTCCTTTCAAAAATAAATAATTAACCAAATTTGGCAAACCATCTAATGATGTTTGATGAGAAAACAATAAGTAAGCTAAAAGAAATAGCCAACTCCTGCAAACATTACTCAAAAGTAAGTAATTACTTACAGAAAAAAACAAGAAAACGGAAATCCAGCCACAAATTCCACACATTGTTGTGTAATAAGTGAAGAAGATTATTTACTATTCTGGAGATATCCAAATGCAAGAATTAAATGATGAGCTCTTACTAGAACTTAGTAAGGGAAACTCCACTCTCAGATGACATACTGCTGGAATTTCTTATATACCTGGGGGATATCACCTAAGAAACAGTACTAAGATTTAGAAACTCTGTTTGGAAAAAAAATATTCCGTGTGAATGGAGGAAAGCAGAAGTGGTACCAATCTTGAAGAGGGAAAAATAAGGAGATATACTGGAAAATTTCAGGCCCATTTCATAACCAAGCACTTTCTCTAAGCTCTATGAGAGAATAGTTGCAGAAAAACTTAAAGAATATATAGAAAAATATGATCTAATATCTTCTAACCAAGCTGGCTTAAAAAAAAAAAAAATCGGAACACTATTGAACAAGTAGTTCTTCTAACACCAGAAATAAAAAATGGCTTCCACAGAAAACAGAGCACCCTGGCAATATTTGTAGATTTTAAGACAGCTCATGATAGAGTTTGTATGTAGAAGCTGGTGAGTAAGCTTGTTAACTAGGGAGTCACAGGATAACCGCTGAAGACTATTTCCTCTTTTTTACATCAAAGGTTTATAAGGGTGGTGTGATATAAAAACTTCGTCTCAACATATGGCCAAACAAGTCGAGGCCTCCCACAAGGTTCGAAGCTGAGTCTTTTCCTGTTTAACATAAAGATTGATAATATCACGGAACTCAATGATTCCATTCCGGGTACAAATGCTCTGCTGTACGCAGATGACCTCATTATTTGGGCAACAAGTAGTGACTTCAAAGGTCTAGAAAACCACATGCAATTGATCACGATAAAAAAAATCAGTGTAGCAGTTGGTAATTAAAGTATCTTTCCAACTTGAACAAATTAAAACTATAGGTAATAAAAGCCAACATTTCGACCTGACTTTGCAGGTCTTCTTCAAGGAGGTGTGTTCAGCTAGGAGTTTGACTTAGAACTCACTGGGAACAATATGCTATAGGTAATAAAGTTGTAAATTTGGAATTTTTTTGGAGTCTGGTGTAAATCATTAATTGTTTATTAACAAATATTGATATCTTATTTATTATTCCTTTATTTTTTATTTAATTTGTATTTACCTGTGATTTTCTTGGAAATAATATGTTTTAAATTATTTGTGTAAATAGTAATCAGTAATATGCTATATAATTTATAGATTTTGCATCGTGATATGAAAGCTGCCAATGTTTTAATAACGCGCCAAGGAATTTTGAAGTTGGCTGATTTTGGTCTTGCACGAGCGTTCAGCCAAACAAAAAATGGCCAAGTGAACAGGTATTTTAACTGTTTGTATAATTTTTGTTATATAGTATATGTATTTGATAATGTTACCTGCAAATACATATCTACCTTCATCAAAAATATTCTAAAATATGTTTCTTTTTGATCCTGCGACTGCTGACAGTCGAGCACTGTTTTAGTGGAATAGATAAGAGCATATTTTGTTGGCAGTACTCGGATGTCTAGTTATGACCTTGTATTTATACTGCTTCTTTCTGATTGCTTCAGATGTAGTGAAGCTATGGGTACTACAACAGCTCTTGGATCTGTTATGATATTGGAGAAGAGTTTTGATGATAACAGCTATGTTGCTACATTTCAGTTCTCCTTTTTTTCGTCTAGTCAAACCAAATTAAATGAAAAATTGTTTCAAATTATAACAAAACTCTAACAAATCATTTTTGTTGGATTTAAGTAACAGAAGAGCATTATAGAGAAATTCAAATATGCCTAAATTCAGCTTGTATTTTTTTAGTTGATGTGCTGATTTATTAATTACCAAATGATAAAACATTATCTGTTATAATCATATAGATTTTGATTTGAACGTTGGTTAATTCAAGCGTGCTAAGTTGGCAACAGTTATTAGTGGTATAGTGAATCTAAGATGAGTTTGAGAGTGAGTAGAGGGGAAGAGGGAGTGTGGCAAAACATTTGCCCCACTCTTCAAAATCTCCAGTCTTCTTTACTCATTTCTACGTACTTCTACAATTTGTTTTACAATCAGAAATTTCTTTTATCAATTTTCTTATCATTTCTTTTACTAATTTTTGTTTACTATGTCAAATGAACTGGGTAGAGAGAAAACGATCCACCCTCAGTCCAAAAACGTAATAATGAACGTATATAAATTCATGGTGGGATTTTGGAGAGGCTGCATGAGCTCCCTTCCCCTACACACAAACTCATCTTAGATCCACTATACTGGTGTCCCATTGTTCAGGCCTTATGTTATTGACCAATCGGAATTGCTCATTGGTCAGAGTTTTGAAGAGCAGGGAGATACTCCAAATTGAGATTGATTCTTTAACATATTGGGAAAACTATCTCTTTTTGGAACCAATTAAACTTATAATTCCAAATCTAAAGTAAAAATGACTACTGTGTAACTATTATGCAAGGAAATATACTTTGAATTACAATTATTGCTCCCATAATTTTATTTGTGTTAACATAGGTGTTAAAAACAAATGTAGTGAATGCTGCTCAGTATAATATTAAATTACTATTTGGAGACTAACAGATATAGTTACTGAATTAAAATATTAGTTTTCATTTATTATTATTATTATGTTTTTTTTTTAGGTATACTAATCGTGTTGTGACCTTATGGTATAGACCACCTGAGTTACTTTTAGGCGATCGAAATTATGGACCACCAGTTGATTTATGGGGAGCTGGTTGCATAATGGCTGAAATGTGGACGAGGAGCCCAATTATGCAAGGAAACACTGAACCGCAACAACTATCCCTCATCAGTCAGCTTTGTGGTTCGATTACGCCTGATGTCTGGCCTGGAGTCGAATCATTGGAATTATATAATAAAATTGAACTTTCAAGAGGGCAAAAACGAAAAGTAAAATTTCTCATAATATGCATTATTGCTATGGAGCTTCACATAAATTATTTAATTTATAAATTTAAGTATTATGGAGCTATAATAAATTTTACTGAAACAACAATGTTGGATGATAACTGAACTGACCAAGTTATCTCTTGCATTCTTCATTGATACTACTTATAAAGTGCAGATTTTTAGAGTAACGATTTCTCACTAGAGCTTACTAGATGTTAAAGTTTATTGGGCTTCAAGATGTCCGTGTTGCTTTTGTAAGCTAGTTCTGGTTTGTTCTTGGTGGATACTTTTTAAAGTAAAGCATTTTGAAGAATCACCTCAGATTCCATTTTGTTTTGAATTAAGAAATGTTAATGTTGTGTATTTCTTTTTGAGAAATGCAAAAAAAAAAAATTTTTATGCTCAGATTCAAAAATTTCCACTCCCGTTTTACATTTTAGTAACGGGCATATCACTGACTACCGTTCATCTGATTTTCATGAAATTTTCAAAGATTGTGCTGGTTAGTGCCTAGATGGTCCCATATCAATTTTATCAAATTCCATCCAGCACAAAATCCAATTAAGTAAGTATCAATTTTATCTAATTCTATCAACTTAAAAAAAAAAAAAAACTTCCGCTTTTAGATCCGGAAATGTATTATTTGACATGCCTGATGTTTGAAAAGAGGCTGGGGTAGCCGGAGGGCTAAGGTGCTTGCTATAGATAACCAAGTTAAGCAACACCGAGTGTGGTTAGCACTTGGATGGGTGACCGTTCCCCAGAGAAAGCCACACTGCCCGAGACTCTCTCCCTCCCCGGGTATGTGGGCCCGTCAGCCTACTGGAGGCAACTCACACCGACTGGGCGTAGGACTGATGTCCCTATCCCCATGTACTTAAATCAGTAATCGGGATGTGGTCTAGAAAACCACATCTCGCGGTCAAAGATCTTTCAAGGTCTGTAGCGCCAACTAAAAAAAAAAAATTGTTTGAAAACGACTTGTTTGATTTGACCTAAACTTGGAGGAAATTGGGAGAATAGTTTAGAAATTATTTAGTATTAAGTTTATTGTATTCCATTTAATAATCCAAATTAATATAAATAATTTTTAACTATATAATGGATGTGAAATATGGAAGAAATTGATTATATGTAGTGGGAGTTAGGTTAATACTAATACTATATTTCTATGGGGTTATAAAATGTTAGGTTTTATTCAAAAAGTTAATTTATACTGTATTGTTTGGTCGATTCCAAACGTTACTGGTATGACAATTATTGCCGTTGCTTAGATTTTGTATAGTTTTCAATAAATTTACATTAATTTTTACTCTAGGTTTGTAAAAAAACACTTCTTATTTGTGATTGCTTTTATTTCTATTTAAGTTCAACTAGATTGTCATGGTCTCGATTTCCTCCCTAAATATCAAAGTTGAGTTAACTTCACGCATATTTTTATATTTCAGTATAATTAGTTTTGTTCTGACTGAAGAAAAGTATTGGTCTAGTTAACTCCGAACAATAAAACAGTTGAATTTTTCCTATGGATTTTTCATTTTATGATTGAAAACCTACTAAGTATATATCACTATACTTATATAAGGATATATGCACTACTGTTAGTGCAAAATATCGTAATTTTCAATTTTTTTTTCCTATTTGTGCTAAAGGTGACATTTTATAGTCTGCAACTAATATTAGTAGTCTGCTTCTATATAAAGAGTTTCACATTTTATTATTCGCTGATGAACAAAACTCGTAGATATCAAACCCGTATATGTTGAGGTATTACTGAATTTCTGAAAAACTGCTTCTCCCAGAGATTTTATTCTGATATGCAAAATTTTATACCTTGTGATATAGATATTTTTTAGCCAATAAAAACGGTGAGGAAGCTGTACTGACCTTACTCAGCAAACTTTTTTTTTTTAACATAAAAGGCGTGGAATGTATTTAGGATACCTGGAAAAAGGGTGATTGGAGAAGAAGAGAATAAGTTTTGTAATCTTTTCTAGAAACAAAAGGAATGTAAATTAGCTTGGTCATATGTATGTTCTTATCTTTCATAAGTTTAGTTAGAGTGGAGGTTTGTTAATTTATTTATTACATGTATTGAACAAGAATCTAATCGATTGCTCCAATATAAAACAAACTTAATTTGAATTGATAGAAAATGAAGTAATATTGTTGTAATTTGTGGTCATATTAATTTGTATTAATAAACTTACAATATTAGTGTGAGCGATATTCATCTCAATTTTCTTTTAGGTAAAAGAAAGGTTGAAGCCTTACGTCAAAGATCCTTATGCCTGTGATCTTTTAGACAAGTTATTGGTGTTGGATCCTCAGAAGCGGTGCGATGCTGATTCAGCTCTTAACCATGATTTCTTCTGGACTGAGCCAATGCCCTGTGACTTATCCAAAATGCTAGCTCAACATGCTCAGAGTATGTTTGAATACCTAACGCCTCCGAGGAGAGCTGGTAACATGCGACATCACCATCCAGGACCAGGTCCAGGTCCTAAACCTTCCACCATTGTAGACACTGGTTATCAGGATAGGGTTTTCTGAGCCTAGCCAAATTGGCGTCAATTCCGCCATTCACCATTATAATCACAACTCTTCATATGATTACTGAAGTCAAAATTAAAAAAAAAATGTGTTTTATACATCGTTATGACTGACTGAGTAATTTTGAGTTACTTAAATGCATAAGAAATTTGGAAGTTTCCTGTTAAAAAAGAAGAAATTTATGACTGATTTATTAATTAGTTATGAGATGTAAAATAATTATTTATAAATATCTTACATTATAGTTATTTCATTGTGTACATTTGTAAAGACTTAATCCTGTAAACTACTATTGTTGAAAGTACAAGTAGGTGATTATTTATTTACCAACTCTATGTTGTGTGTCCTTAATAGCTTTTAAGCTGAGGTTAAGTATGATGAAATTATAACCTATGTATTTTGAAGATATTTATATTATCACAAATTTTATACTTGTTAATTTTTATTTTATTAATTTATTGAGGAATTACTGAATTTCAGAAAACGGAAGTTCATCAATTTCATATATTTGAAATATTGAGAACTGTGAACTAAGAATTTTTAATTTTGATGAATTATTAGTTTCATTTAACAGATAGTTTACATATCTCACAATAATTTTGAGGCCACATTTACTCTATTTTTATGTTGCAAAAAATTTTAGATTATTCTTGTTTGTAATAATTCATTTATGAGTTTGAATTAGCAACTAACCTAAGCACCTTATTTAACTATATTATTTGTACTATTGAAAACATGCTCATATATACATATATTATTTGTATATACTGTAAAGCACATTATATACTTCAAAATATTCATTCACTGCTTGGGAATAACACAATACTTGAAATGTGGAAAGAATATCTTAATCTGTATCTAGAATAGATACAGAATGTATTTAAGTTTTTTAAGAATCTTGCATTATTACAATAACATTAAAAGCAAAAAAAATTTCTCATGCGCAAAATCTGATGTTTTTGTTCATATTGCTCTTTAAAAGGCTATAACTTTTTTTGGATTTGTTTCATTACACATCATATTGTTTTCTTCTGGAAATTAATTCTATTTTCTAGAAAAATAATATTGTGTCTATGTTTCTCATCACTGTTCGAACACACATTCTTCAGATTTTGAAGTGGTTCATCTCATTCTAGTACCTAATAAAATTTCTGTAGTTTTTACTCCACATCATATATCCTATTTGAATTAGATTCTCTTCCCCTTTGATTCTAGGAAATTAGTTCTTGAATTACTGTTTAGGAACATTAATTAGGAGACCATCATCGTAGAACAGTATTAGTTATTGATTGCAAAAAAGTTGAGGTCTATTAAGGAGCAATAGTGAGGAAAAAAAATCAGATATGGTATGCATTGATAATTGAATAGCGTTTTCTTCTCCATTTATCTATCTTTTTAATTAAATTGAAAGGGTATATATTTTTATAGAAGTTGTTTGTTGAAAGTTTAATATTCTGGTAGTGGTATTTATCGAAAAATGCAAGGGTCTTCTTTTGTTTTCATCGTATATAAAAATAAAATATATTTTCAATTTGTCAGTAATATGTATATTTAAACTTACTAAATCCATTAAGTTTTATCGTCAGTATTTTGTGACCATATTCTCTTTGTTTCTCAATGTTGTTGCTAAACTTTGTCTTAGATTCATCCATTGTATTTAAAATATAATGTGATTTATAAAATATTTGCTGATCCTACTGTTTATACCTAGATCCTTAAATATTATTGCATAAATGTTTAAAATAATAAAAAAAAATTGTATCTGTAAGCATTTAATAACAGACATGCTCAAAATAACTTAGGAATTACAAAACTTGAGAAAGTTTCTCAACTGTTTACACATTTTGTCAACAGTTTATTTTATGTTTCACACAATTTAAAAACGTGGTCCTTTGCTTCAATGGATGAGCAACGGCTGATTTTATATGTTTCACACAATTTAAAAACGTGGTCCTTTGCTTCAATGGATGAGCAACGGCTGATATGGCAGGTCTGGATTTAGGTGGCAGCTGTTGGGTGGTGTTGACAATCCAAACCTTGAGCTGTGGAAGTCAGTGCTTTATTCACTGAGTTCGCCACCTCCCCAAAAGCAATTAAAAACTATTTTATTTTAGATATTGTCCTCCATATTAGTCAATTATGAAAATTCAAATAAAAAAAAAATAAAGTATTGAGAACAAGAAATTAAGTAAATTTTGAAATAAGAAAGGGTGTGCCTCAGGTTGAATTTCTATATCTAATTAGATGAAGGTTAAAAGTAGTTTCCCAAACCAATTTTTAGTGCTACTTTAAATTTAATTGATATTAAATAATTTATAAGTTTTAAAGAACAGCTAACAACAATTTTAAATTTATTATTTATTTTATACTTAAATCAGACAATTATAAGTTATTCAATTATTTAAGAGGAATAAAATATAGATTATTTATCTCTTTTTAGTAATTTTTGTGTTTCCTCACTTAGGGAAGTAGATTTATTAATTTAGTTCACATTCCATTAGTTACTTAAATTAAGTTTGATAGTAGTAAATTAAATAATTTGGTGTTTAATTTAGTCAAAATTTTGTTTTCCCCTGTACCTCGCCATTTGTGGCATGCTTTCTTGACATTCCAGAGGTACAATCAAAGTTACTTAAACCAGAGTGAGAAGGTCTTCATTCTGTGGATCCACCATTAAATAAATATCAATCCAACCAGGCCTGATTTGAAAAGACATCGCTAACCTCTAAAATGGTATACTTTTTATGTGGCCATCATGACTTTATAATTTAGTTATAATCTGGCTAGGACCACTCTCAACCTCCAGGTTTTTCTCCCCTACCGAAGGGTAAGAAGCTCATTTTATAGATACTAATTGTACCTCAGAAGAGCCCACCAACTCCCAAGTTGATATATATATATATATATATACAACAAAATAAATAATTATGGAAAAGTGGAGAGGAAGGACTCACTCGCACATAACAGTATTGATGTTTTCTGTTATTACCCTTCACTTGATTTACCTGGCAAAATAAAACAATTTAATCTGAGTGAGCTTAAGGAATGAAAATTTCATTACTTACATAAATTCTGGAGTAACAGGAAGAAAGGGGAACTATGATAGCTTTTAAATGGTTTTTAGTTTCAAAAATTTCTTTTATGTGCTCAGTCATAAATAAAATGTGAATAACTTTAAACATAAACTTCATAAGATAAATAGGAGGTTTATTTCATTGATTCACAGGCAAAATATTCTGAAGGAAACATTTATAAATATATGATGACAACAATATTAAATAAATAAAACATAAATATACACATATATTTTTATTTTATTTAGGCAATTGTGTAGTTACAGCTCCGTTAAAAAGCATAAGAGAAGCTACAATAGTCACAATAATATCAAAGATTATAATAGTAATGTAGCTTAGTTAATTATAATAAACGCATTTTGAGTATTTTCCAATTTTTTAAATCAATTAAAAAAATACAATAGGTACAGCCTAACAACTTTGGTAGTTAATGTGGATCTTTAATTTGATATGAGTCCACATAACTTAAAAAATTCTTCAAGGTTATTTAGGGCTGGAGATAACACATAATACACTCTACTTTCATACAATAGGGCATTTGATAACAATTTAAAAAGTTTTATATAAAGCCCATTTATTTCATATAATATAAAACACATTTAACTGTTAAACTAAATAAATCTTAAAATGTACACAACTAACTATTCTAAGCTACAAACAAGCAGTTTTGTCATGGAAAGAAATCTATAATTTATGTATATATTATATATAAACACTTTTTTTTATTTTTTTAAATAAATGTATGCACATGGGTTTGCTACAACATAATAATTTTCTTTAAAATTTTATTAAAATTTCATGTTTAAATAGGTAGAATAGTAATAATGTATAACAGAAAGAATATGTAAAGTAGTGATCGCCACTTGATTATGTTAAATAAATGCAATGGCAATGGACAAGTTTATTTCAAGATGGTCCCTAACCAATAATCAAGATGGCATCAGATCTCGCACTATTCCCCTCCAGCCAGGGTATATTTTTGAGCAGATCAACAATTTTGAGCGAGTTTTTCATTTTTTTTCATTTTTTTTATACAGAATTAAAAAACTCTATGAAAATCTTTCTTTTATAATAATTACGTATCAAAACACCTCTTCTATCTCTATCATTCTAACCAATTTATCTAAAACTCTATGCTGGTATTAAAATGACCAAACATTTTATACAATATTTTTTTTTTATAAATAATTTAACTATACTGAAAACAGAAATTCTAAACATGCTATATATAATAAATATAAACAAGACATATATAACTTTTTTATAATACACAGTTAGCTTACTTACATAATATAACATTACATTTTTTTAAAAAATAGTTCGATCTCTTTAAAACCAGCTACATGTCTACAATATAAAACAAATTGACATAGAAACACTTAAAAATCTGTTTTCAATGGAATGAAAATAAATAATGTACTGCTCTAGATGTAATCTTCACATACAAAACAGTTAAGGCCTTGCTGGCCCTAACAAGAAATGTATAATAGACTTATTTATATATATAAAAAAAGATAATATAAACTCTCAAAAAGTAAGAAGCTAGGTGGTGTCTGAACACGGAGGGGTAAGGTGGTATATGGTGGAGGGAGAGAGTTCAACACTTAATGACACCTATTCACTTTTCTTCTTTTTCTTTTTCTTTATTTTCTTTATCTGCACTTTCCTTCTCATTTTCTTTTTCAATTTCTTTTTCCGACTATAACAACAAAATTAATTATAATTAATTCACAGCCTGAAAATAAGATGAAACAATAGGTATGATTTAACAGCTTATATTAGCACATATATATATAGTTAATAATAACAAATATATCATGATAATCTGTTAATACCAAGAGATTAATATATCAATGGGATGTTTTGTAAAAGAGATGAATTCGACGACACAACTTTTCTGGAAAGCAAATTAGAAGAGGGAAAGTAATGTTGTTCTTCTTATTATATTGAGGGATCTACAAGGAGCATGTAAAAAAATGGGAAATAAATTGCCATTATTAGACATAAATGGCTACTGATTTCATGAATTTAAAAAGTTGAAAATCCAATAATACATAATCAGCCAAATTCACTCTATATTATAAAATACTGACGAAATATGAATAAATACCATAGCTTAACCAACAAATAATGACAATGGCATAATGATTAATAACACAACTAAATTTAATTCATTACACTAATACAAAAACAAAAATTCCATTGTTTCATTTATAATTTAAAAACAAGATTAACCATACAGACCGGACAAATCAAGTTTATTTAAACTCTTCATTTCGTTAAATGTTCCCAATAAAAGCTAACCCCCTCCCTTCCCCATTAATTGCTAGTTACCAATTTATTTTATTTTTTGTGAATTTAACACTTAAGACAAAAAATATTTCCCGTATTGCTCCAGATTGTATACTCAAAAGTAAGCTACCATTGACTTTTTCCATGGTTCTCTCTAGCTAATTTATTAGCGGACATTAGGTAAGGAAGAGATAACTATATTTACTTTTAAACAAATAATGAAAATTTAAAAAATTACCTTTTCCTTTTCGTCCTTATCACTATCACCTTCTTTTTCAGCCTTTTTTTCTTCATCTTTTCCTTTGACTTCTTTTTCTTCTGGAGGAGGTTTAGGGAGGTGTGAATTGAGGTCCAATGTAGTGCAAATATCTTCCCAATCAGAGAAACACCTGATGAGATAATAAAATTTTTAAAAAAAGAAAAGAAAAATAGGTTCACTGTTTAATATTTTTAAAAAATTGCTGAGCTATAACTACTGTCTGTAATCACTTCGATGGTTTTTTATTATATTCTATTGAATTTTTTTTCTCAGGAATTCCAACTAAACTATCCAATTTTAAAAGGTAGTTTTTTTGGAAGTTGCAAGGTTTAATTAGGATTCCTGAAAACATTCAATGGAAAACTTAAAATATAGATCTTCATGTTGACTACCAAAAATGTCGCTAGATTTGGTAAAAAAAGTAGGACTTAACTCGTGGCCAACATTGGCTGCATGGTATATAATCCATATTGGATTAATAATATGGCAAATAATTGTAGGCAGGGAGTTTGATCCACACATGCTTTGTAGCTCTTTCACTTGATTATTATCAATCACCTGTGCATTTTCATTTTGACATTCATAAAACTTTTTTTATTACTAATAATAATGCCGATTGGCTAGATTGGGAAAGGATTAGCACTAAAGTTAGCTGCTTTTATTTTTAAATCTGAAAGAGCCTATAAGCAGACAGCATATCAGGAGAACCAGAGCAAAATAAAATTAATTAAGAAAATAAGATAAGTCAAAGAGGGAATGGAATGCGACTTTAACAAACAGGCAGTACTTCTTCATGTTGCCTTTATTAAAATGAACAATGTCCTACAATTAACAACACCAGATAGAATCATTGATATAATGAATCATAAGACAATATGAAGATGGATTTACAAGAAATAAGAACAAATGATATTCATCTTTAAGCAGGAACCGAAGTAGATATAGATTGGAAGTAGATCAAAATATGCACTGGGCTATTTGCCAATAAATAAGTAACATCAAATGTATTTGTTAACAGAAACTATATAGAAGATAATGGATCTTCTCAGAAGTTGGCCAAGGGTATCATAAACAATATTTAATTAAATAAGGAAAGTAAATAAGTCTTCTAAGATGATCAGAAGGCATCTCACCCAAACTGCAAACTAGTTATTAGTCTATGAAAATAGAGTAGTAAATGGAATACAACGTTAATCATAGGATTCCAGGCTGGGATCACTTCTTTAATAAGGTACCCTCACAACAGAGATTGAGTCTGATTAATTATGAAGAAAGGAAGGCAGGCATAAAGGGGAAAGAGATGCATCTCATAATTTCTTACAACAATTAACTTTTTGTAAAATTTTGATATCTACCAGGCATCTAACTAAAGTAATCGTTATTATGAAAAGATAACATTTTAATAATGAAACTTTTATTCAACTAGGAAATTATTTTTCTATAATATTTATAAAATTATTTTGTATTTTAATTATTAATATAAAATTATATATCTGTAATCATTTATAAGAATATTAATACTATATGGAAAATACAAACCTCTCTTTCATCCTGTTTACATGTCCAACTAGATTGGCACAGTTTTCTTGCATGAAATCTTGCAGCGGATACTGTAATTCTTTGTCGATGAAGTAAATCTGGGCTAGATTAGCGAATGCTACAACGTCCAACTAAAAATATCGTAAATTAGCATTATCTATTGTACAGTGCAATAATTAGAATGAGATGGAAATCAGTAAATTACTTGCCATCATTGAAATTATAAGTAAAAAAATAAAATAAACTATTGAGATACTAATGAAAAAATCATAAGAGGCTTTAACTATACTAACCGTAGTTGGCTCATCTCCAAAGAAAAATGGTTTATCAGCAAGCATTTCAGACAAAACTTTAAGGTCATTTTGACCAAATTCAAGGATTTCTTCTGGCTTGTGCACTCCAATTCCATGTGCTTTAACTTTTCTTAATCCCTTTAGAACAAAATAGAGATATTAGACAAAGGAAACAGCACAAATTAGCTAACTGAAGGCAAGTATAATTCACTACCTACTAAGTTTAAAGAGCTTTTGAAATCAATAAATATTAATGCAATCTGATTAATATAATAGGATATCATAAACTAATATTAACGTCTCCAAATTTACTTAAAGACTTCTTGCAATATATTGAGATAAATTGTTATTCTTATCTGATTTGATTCATCTTTTTGATAATCAAGAATAGTTTTGAAAGTTATTTTATATTATTTGTCATTCAATTTTATAAGACAAACCTTTCTTGTGTAGCTATACTTGAAAAAAAGACTGAGGAGACCATTTGGTATCCGGCTTCCAAGAAAATGTTGCAGATTCATTTTATAACCTTTAATTATATTGTCAGGATGCTTTGTTCGCCACCACATCAACACCCTGAAATAATAAATCAATTAAGCTCATAGATTAAATACAATCATTATGATTTCTATATATCAATAAAAAAGAACTGTATATCTCCTGTAATAAGACAACCAAACAGATCTAAAAGCAACGGGAAGTGTTAATTATTTTAGTTAACAATGGTTTCATTTTTTAAAAATAAATTAGATCTTTTAGATGTTTAAAAGAACATAGAAAACATCTAAATAAAAATTTAAAAACTCGCTAACTGAGAATTTTCAGTTCAATATTCGGGCGATTTTTACACATTAAATAGTATAAACTAACAAAAACATCTTTTTTTGCCTTTAAGTTCATAAAGTTAGTTTATAAAATATTTTTAAAAATGTTTATTTTACAGCTCATTTCTGAATGAAGGGATAATATATAATTGAATTTATCCTACTCACTTACTTTGGGAAATAATGGATTTTAAAATTAAAAAATGATGACTGATTCCCACTTAAGACTTGGAATAAAATAGTTTTGGATAACTAAATCCTGCAGTTAGGGAAACCAGCCCTCCAAACCACCATATTCATTTTTCATTAAATATATAACTACAAATTAGGAAAAGTTCTCTTACCAGAATAAGTGATTTTCAATCATAGAAATCATTGCATGTGAAACATTCTTCTGACTACTGTCCAAAGCAGCGTCAAGGTCCTTGTCAAACCTTTGAGACAATTCTTTAATAATAACTGCGCTATCATTAATTTCTTCTCCATTAAGTTCAACAAAAGGCAACAGTCCTTTCTTTGACTTGAACTTCATTTTGTGGTCAATATTCTGAAACAAAAATAATCTTTTATATATAACCATTAATTTTTCCTTTATTTATCATTACATTAATTTTTCCTCTCCCCCTCTCCTCCAAAATTCAGATGATAATTGATACAACATAAAATATATAAAAAATTATGATTTTTGTTTGTATTGTTAAAGAATAAAACTATAAATAAAATTATGATCGCAATGTGTTCTGAATTATATTTTTTACTATTCTTCGAATATGTCACATTAAATTCAAATCTCATAAATCATACAATAATACAAAAATCGACATCCATCATATAATTTAATTATTGGGAGCTTATGGAATATTTATAGTACAAATATCGAGCCTGTGAGTTCACTAAGTTTTTTATTAGTATTAAAATAAGAAGCATGTTTTGGATGAAGTGGAAGAGCATGTCTACTACTTTAGTAAAGTGTTATTAAGTATATTACAGCCAAGGGATATCATTCAAAAAGAAATAATTCTCCAAGATGGTCCCAATTGAGATTACACATACAACATGTAGTTTTATTTTTTAATAAAAACTATCAATAACAATTCTCCAGTCAAACAAACTATGAAGAAGCTGTTTCACTAGGAAGTAGAGCAAGTGATGTCAGAGCGAGCTTAATAAGGATTCAATTCTCTCCTGGATCAAATAATATATATTTTGTTGAAATACTGGAAAATGAATTTCTATTACAACTACTCTAATACTCTGTCAAGGGTAATACCAAGAGGTATACTTATGTAACAAGTTTTTCCTCTACCCTCAACCATACTAATCTAGTACTAGACTAGTAGTATGGTGTAGATATTTTGGCTCGAGGTCCATATCTTCCAAAGACCAAAACCTGACAACTAGTTATGAATTGTTTGAGCTGTGGTTATGAATTATACATGAATTTTCCTATTGTGACTAAACATAGCGAAATATTGCTGATTAGGGGGGAGGGCGGACGCATTTGGTCACAAAGAAAGATGACATGTGCTTAATTTATTTAAATTAAAAATTTCAAGATCACCCGAGAAGATATTACTGAAGAGAAGAATAGTTTGCTTTTATATGTTTAGAAGCAGGGAAGGGACACATCTATAAATAGTGCGAAATTGAAGTAGCAAGGAAAGGCAATTGGGGAATAAATATAAGTAGTGCTAAGGGGGAGTTCAATAGTACAATAACTCAGAAATTGATGAAAAGTTGTAAGAAAAATAATAGATTAACTAAGAAATTGACTGTATAAATCGGGGATAAGGAGAGGAACGGAGGAAACCGCCAACAACTGAATTTAAAATATCAATTGAAAAAACAAGATCTGTTTGATTTCATAAATTACCGAAATATTAAAAATTCGATGGAAAACATGAAATATAAACTGTACGCGAGCAGGTAAAAGTAATTTAAAAAATAATTAGAAATGATGTGTATTCCCTATTTTGTATAACTAGCCTAAGATCGATCCATTTTTTAAATTAAATTTTGTATCATGTCCTTTTTTTGAAATTATTTTCTTTTAAAATGACAAAATCAATCAGATTTTCCATAAAGTTGTTGTTGCTTCCAGCTCTCTGTAGGTTGGTTTCGACAAGACAGACTAAAAAGAAGATAAAGAAGCATTGGGTAAGGTAATGAGAGGGCTGTTGCTATGGGCTGAGGAGGTATCGATCCGCCTACTACCCGCCCGCCACCTAGCTACTCGTCGTTCGGCCAACATCCGCCCATCAACTGTCCCTCGCCTTTATCCTCCCAATCAATCTCTGCTATCATACCTATCTATACCTTTAACACCTTATCAACATCACTCCCGTCTTCACTTTTAGAAACGTCAAAAATATATCTACATATATGTTCGTATCTTGAAATACGCATAACAAACGACACCCATCGTTATAAGATCACATGTTACGTAAACATTTAAAAAAAAGAAACTTTTTTGAGTTGTGAATTACTATTTTTATAAGAATGGAAATAAATGGGACACATCCGTCCCTAGACTAGAATTCAACTACTCATAAGCTTCTAAACGAAAAACATATTATTTGAAGTTAACATTTCGGATAATACCATCGACAAGAACTCTTTCAGACAAAAATCATAAATACTTGATATATAACAGATTTTATTTATTATTACACTTTATTTAATTTAGGAGGAGATGAATGTAATGAATTTACATAAATTCAGGAAGGGAGCCAGCCTGCAACTGTTATCATACGTAAGATTGAAGAATTCATCGGCGGTAGAGCATGAAGAGCTTTGCTCAATCAATCGATTCTTCACTGAACCATCAAACTGTTACGCTACCAGTCCGTAACTGATGCGGGTTCCACACTTTTCGATTATATAAATAATTAAACTGGAATTCTTCTGCATTTTATTCTCAGTTCTCAGGTTATGGCACTACTGTAACTAGAATGACATTTCTCAAAAGATGAGGTCTGGTTATAGTGAAGCAAACAATAGATTTAGGTAGCGAGGGAAAAAAAAAAAGATTAAGACATCAAATGTTTTTTTAACAAACCTAGTTTCATTCATAAATAACTCAGAGATTATATAATATTCGTTCTTACAAATTTCAAGATTTTCCTTACCGGAAACAATTCAATTTTTTTTTCTCCAATAAAAATATTTTGTTTTTCTACATTTATCCTCTCTTCTGTTCTAAAGAAACTACATTTCATCACCACATTTCTGTGCCATAATAGCGATATAATAATTTTTAACCAGGTATTAGGATATGATAGGAATGCTATTTATTCATTTTACAACTATTTGGGCTATTTAACCTCTTGAGCTATTTTACAAATTTATTAATTTATAAACGAATATAATATAGATTCGTAAAGATATGACATAACAACCGCAGTGTTAGCAAGTTTTAGACAGTAGCGTTACAACCACGGTACTGCCGCACTGTCGTAGTAAAATCAAATAACATATTTAATTAATGGACATTTAATTAGCTATTTAAAAATATAAAATCATTCTAATTAGCTCTTTCTTTGGCACGAATAGAACTTAAGAATGGATCCGACGAAACCATCTTCTTCTCTCTGAAACCTCCATTCCATTTTTATGCTACTTTTTCGGGAACGTTCTCGATATTAAAATCGATAATGTTAATTTCTTGTGCTTTGGGCGGGCATTCTATTTCGACCTTCCTATAACAAACATAATGTAGAAATATTGTTTATGGCTTTGTAATCCTAATACGATGTTCTTGAAAACTAACCAATGTTTCCATCGTTAGTGGTACCCATATTGTTGGCTTCACATCAATGTTGACCCCTAAAATTTTTTACAAATCTGTTCGTTTCTTTCACTTCTTGATTTTTCCATGACAGAATTCCATTGATTTATTCATTCGCTTTGAATAATTTCCGTAATTTAATTTGCCATATAATAACCAAAACCGCGAATCTCGCTGATTTTTGTATTTAAGTTTTTTTTTGGTACATAATTCACTAACGGATCTACGATTTAATTGGGTGGGGAAGGGGAGTTTCGGCTCGAAAGAGTTTTTTTTTTGTACAAATATATTAGGTGAATTACTTCGGAAGAAAGAAGGAAACTAACTACCTATATGGAATGGTGTTCAAGTGATACTTGAAGTCCTATTAACTGTAATTAGACGAACAATAATGCTTTTAGAGATAATTGTTTTCCCTAAAACATGGTTATATTTTACCATTTGGGGAGGGATTCAGCCCGAAAGCCCCCTCTCTCCCATAGAGCCAGCCGCCAGTGACAGAGTTTAAAGAACATTTTGAATTCAGCAATATCAATGATGAAGTAATGACATTTCCGAATTCGTTCCAACAAATTACAAAAGAAAAACACGTAAAATATATTTCCTGATTTCTAAACAAGTTAAAAAAAAAATCAATTTTGTTGCTCACATAAAAAACAAGGTAAATTTACATTTACTGAATGCCATGAAAATAGTGCAGTTCTAGTAGTTATTATCCATTAATTGCTACCGCCCTAACATTCCACAAGGTAGTGCTAATGGAGCAGAGCAAACTATTCATCGAAACGAGACCAGCCCCTGTCGCAAGCCATCCGACCCGGTGAGAATTGAATTGGGAGTAGACTGGAGGCAGAGGTAAGGTAAGGTAAGAGCTGTGAGGCAAGTAGGGTTACACCGCCCTCCGATGGCGATAGCTGGGCCGACAGCGATTCTCAACACTCTCTCCAATCCAGACCCGATTTTCTGCTTCACTGGCCTGTGCCATTATCCTGTTAGAATGGCCTTTTGTTGTAATTTCCGTCTCTCGCCTCCTGCCACTGGTAATTAGAACCAGAATTTTAAACAGCCGATCTTGGCATCGTAGAATCTAACTTAGTTATCTACTAAAAGCTTGAACAATACTACTTTATTAGACTCGCCTTCGAAATACGAACACTTCATTCGCAATTTTAAAAATATACCGAGTAAGCAATCAGATTATCGTTACACTCATCATGTAATGCAGTCAACTAATATTTTTTATTTTTTTATTCTTCATATTTACAACTGTATTAAAACAAACATACATTTAGTAAATGTACACACAGGAAAATAACGACATGAAAACTCTTGTGGAGAAACTACACACTAGCACTCGGATAGGTAATGATGGATCGAGGAGGAAGCAAGTATGAAAAGAGAGGGTTCGGATGATTCTGAAGAAGGATAGACATCTGGATTGGGCCAAATCTGAAACATATGGTACGTTAAGGTTGTTATGGATGATTTTATTTGTGATAAAGTAAGGAGCATTGAAGATATCAGGAAGTATCTTGGATTGTAAGGATTGAATAAGGGAGGAATTAGATGGCTTAGTGGAGCACCAAAGCTCAATTCTTCAAGTCCAAATAGGTTTATTATAGTCTCATATATCAGTCTTATGTAATTAATTGGAAGCTTAGAAAGCTTAACAAGTAAGTGTTGGAGTAGTCAGAAACATCTAGCGGTTTTTTCTCTTATCAGACTTATCTGAAGATTCCAAACGAGACTTTTGTCCAGAA